AGATCTTCCAGATCTTGTTGTTCAAGTCATTGATTTGAAAGCCGTCGGCAATCGTTTCATGTTCGTCTTTTTAAGTCTCTTATATTCAGTTCTTTTGATTTGTAGTTTTGGTGTGATTTAATCTGTTGTTTGAATTAGGGTTTTTGAGATTCATTTGCTAATTTCCAATTTTTTGTTCAATTTTTCATTTTAGGCTTTATTGGGTATGGTTATTACACATTCTAATAGTTTAAATTTTAATTTGCATACTTGAATTGAATCTGAAATTTTTTTAGGGTTTGATTTTGTAATGAATACTCCATCTGCTAAATGCTTGGTAATCCAGTTGTTTAATTTGATGTTGTTGACTTAATTGTCATGATCTGTTCAAAAATTGGTGTTAGGGTTTTAGTTGAAGTTTGCTTAATTGTTTGTCAGTTTTGAGATTTGGCTCAATTTTTTCAAGGGATTGATTTAGTGTATTGTTACAAAAAATTGTTAGGTTTACTGCTAGTGATGGAAAACAGAAGCTAAAGGGTATTCTGCAGTCAAGTTTTTCAGATATGGTATCTTCTGGATCCATTCAGAATATGGGTCTTATTCGGGTTCTTGATTATACCCTCAACGACATTCCGAACAAACCCGAAAAGTAAGCCCTTTTTATTTTGTACTCAATTACAATTTACTACTAATGGACTTGTATTGTGAACTTTTTACTGATCTATGATTGAAATTTCTGAATGGTCAATAGGTATCTGCTTGTAACTAAGTGTGAGTCTGTCTCGCCTGCACTCGAGACAGAGATTAAGGTTGAAGAGGAAATTGAGGATGGCAGTGCTGCCAAAAGGCAAAAGCAAGAGGTTGATGTGAAAGCCGAGGATATGAAGGAAGCTGCTGGTATTATGCTGAAGCCTAAGCAGGAAATTGTTGCTAAATCAGCTGCTCAAATCATTAATGAGCAAAGAGGAAAGTGAGTGTTCTTATTCCCTCTGATTTATGATGTAAGCTTTGTTTTAGATATGAGCTTGATTTGCAACTGGTGATATATATGTATCACACTTTAATAAGATTTGAGTACAAAATAAGATTTGGTTATGTATTACGGGTTTTAATAAGATTTGGTAGTTGGTTATGCATTTGCTTATGTATTAGCTTAGCTTATTGTGAGTCTTTTTGATGCTGCAGTGCTGCGCCTGCTGCTAGAATGGGCATGACTCGAAGGGTGTACCCTCTTGCTTCGCTGAATCCTTACCAAGGGAACTGGACCATTAAGGTCCGAGTTACTAGCAAAGCAACCATGAGAACCTACAACAATGCTAGAGGAGAGGGTAATGTCTTCAATGTCGAGCTAACTGATGAAGATGTAAGTAAATGCTACAATGAGTTGAGCTTTTTGATTCATGTTTGAATTGAGTTATTCATAAACATTTTCATGAATGCAGGGTACTCAAATACAAGCAACAATGTTCAATGCAGCTGCAAGGAAGTTTTATGACACCTTCCAAGCCGGGAAGGTTTACTTTATCTCAAAGGGAACTCTAAAAGTTGCAAATAAGAAGTTCAATACTGTACACAATGACTATGAGATGACCATCAATGAGAATTCTGTTGTCGAGGAAGCCAGTGATGAGGGAGTGTATATTCCTGAAACAAAGTTTAACTTTGTTCCAATTGATCAGTTGGGTCTACATGTAAATGGAAAGGATGTCGTAGGTAAGAAATGCACTGACTTTAACATCAGTTGTTGGTTGCAACTGCAAGAATTGTACATAATGATTGATTGCTTAATGTGCTTTTATCTTGCAGATGTTATTGGAGTCGTGCAGAATGTGTCCCCAACAATGAGTATTAGGAGGAAAATAAACAATGAGATGATTCCAAAGCGTGACATAACTATTGCTGATGAATCGTGAGTACATAATTTGACTTAATCATTACCTTATTGATAACACTTGTTTTATCAAAAATTTAATATATTGTCGAATTGCAGGAAAAAAACTGTAGTGGTTTCATTGTGGAATGATCATGCCACAACACTTGGGCAAGAATTGCTGGATATGGCTGATCAGTCTCCTGTAATTGCCATTAAGTCTGTTAAAGTTGGAGACTTCCAGGGTATGATTTTCAATAGAACTAAACAAAATTATGGAAAAACATAGAACCTTCAACAAAGACAATAAACTGACTTTTCTGCTCTGATTGTAGGTGTATCATTGTCAGCAATAAGCAAAAGTGTACTTAAAATAAATCCTGATTTGCCTGAGTCAAGACAGCTGAGGTCTTGGTATGATTCAGAAGGTAAAGAAGCCTCATTGGCGTCTGTGGGTGCCGGTATGACCCCCTCTCCTAATGGTGGAGGGAGGTCAATGTACACTGATAGAGTTCCCATTTCACATATCACAAGCAATCCATCTTTGGGTGATGACAAGGTATTGCAGTGACTATCACTTGCGTTCTGATATGAATCAAACCTTGGCTCATTGATTGTTGATCTCACTTACTTTGTTTTCTGTCAGCCTGTGTTCTTTAGCCTGAAAGCATACATAAGCGTAATTAGGCCTGATCAGGCTATGTGGTATCGAGCTTGTAAGACATGCAACAAGAAGGTTACTGAAGCTATTGGATCTGGATACTGGTGTGAAGGATGCCAGAAGAATGAAGAAGAATGCAACTTAAGGTCTGATCAAAAGCAGAAAAATTAGATTATTTGTACTGTCATTGGTTTATTTTGTCGTTTCCCAATCTTGAATTCTTTATGATACTAACCTTCTTAAGTTTTATCATTTAGATATGTTATGGTAGCGAAAATTTCGGATGCAAGTGGTGAAACATGGGTTTCAACATTCAATGAGCAAGCTGAAATAATCATAGGGTGCCCTGCTGATGAGCTCGAGAAGTTAAAATCACAGGTTTGTTACCTACATTGTTACTCAATAATGTCAATCTAGTAAAAATGTAAATTGATGATTACTTGACATTTTAACTGATACAAAATGTAAATTGATGATTACTTGACATTTTAACTGATACAAATGCCTTTAATTTTTCTTCAGGAGGGAGAAGATAATCTCTTCCAGACTAAACTAAAAGAAGCAGCTTGGGAACCACAAACATTCCGTGTTAGCGTGGCACAAACCGAGTACAATAATGAGAAGAGACAGAGGGTAACCCTAAGAGCTGTTGCCCCGCTTGACTATGTAGCTGAGACAAGTTATCTGCTAGGCGAGATCACTAAAATGAAAGCTTCTCAGTAGAAATCCTTATTGAAATTTTAGCAGTAGGTTATGATATTTATATTCTAGGGGTTGGGTTGGGTTGGGTTGGTTCTTTTTGTGAATCTGGAGCAATCAAACAGAACTACTTTGTTCATTGTAATATATGCATCGCAATATTGGCCTATAACTTCATGTTTTCTTCCTTTTTATAACTTTACTGCTAGAGAATAGTGTGCAGTAAGTCTTCTCTATCATGAATAGCTTCTTTACTGGCCTTGTGAACTGCAAAATGACTTGAATTTTACCATATTTTTAAGCAGTTGTAATTGGTACAAAAATTATCTTAAACAAGGACATAAGTATTAATACAATGCCATTCAAGCTCCTGTCATAATTTCGAGCATTGCAGTATTTCTCTTAATGAAGTGTGCCAAGTATACACTTATACCTTTTGTGGTTACTGAAGATTGTAATCCTAATGTATTCTAAAGATTATTTTTTTGTTCATAGTGCACTTGTTTGTCTGAGGGTTGATTTAAAATGCAAAAGCATCAATTGAAAGCTTTGTTACTCGTACAATAGCTCTTTGGTTATTCTTCCTAAAGTGCTTACTGAATGTACGAGTTGAAGTCCCTCAGGTTTTCACACTATAGTATAGAACTGCGAACAACTGCTCAGAACACACAAAGACAAAATATAGTAAACCAACTCTAAAGTTATGTTGCAGAATCTTCTCCAAAACATACCGTGACACCAAGCTGATTATTTATGGAAAGCCTTGTGGTAACTGGAAAAGGTACAATCCGAATTTGCGATACATGCCTGATCAGAGCACAAGGCGTTCAGGACTTCGGGTGTTCAGGGATAAAAGATGAGTTATGGCGTGCACCAATCATTGTACAAAACGAAAGAGAAAAAAAAAGAAAAAGGAAACGCCCACCGTGGGACTCGAACTGAGCTAGGCGGGCTTCCTGGTTACCATTTACATGTTTACTAAGAATCTATAAAACTTTCATTCGGATTGAATTTAGATTCAAACCTTTTAAGCCAAAGTCCGAAGTGGCTAAATATTCAGACATTCTCCATTATTAGCTCTTAAATATATTGCTATCAAAATTATACGGCTTCATTGGAATGAACTTAACACTACAAGTCTGCAAATAAAACTTAAATGTTTTAGTCCAAACAAAACACTAAATTAAAGTGGACTACTCCGTAGTTTATACATTTGTCATCTCCCCGAAGGTACTAATAGCCTAATAGGAGTGTTAATTAGACACTTCCGAGGCATTATTTTGTTCGAGACTCCTTTGTAAGATAAAGGGTACTACGCAAATGTTAAGGGTAATATTACATTAAAACCGATTATGAAAACTTAAGTTCCAACGTATTGTATTAAGACTAAGAGTATGCAAGATAGGCAAAACTTGATCCTAGACCCGGAATCGTTTAAGATCCAGATTCGGTTCTAATGGTCCATTTTTAAGTTTCAATAATGAAAACCATCTAAAATAGAATCTGATACCATTAGTTTTACTCATTAGTTAGCTTTTTTTTTTTTTAAAAAAAAAAAAAAAAAATCTCTCCTAGCTAGCTGCATGTATGGTCTGTATCATATCCTCACCAAAATAGCAGCTGAGAATTTAGACTATGCTTCATGTTGATGGCTGCTAATTATTATAGGAATTTTGCAGTACAATTCTGCCTTACCTTATCACTTACATGTTACATGTGCTTCACTCCTTTTTATTCTACAATGCATGTCAATTTCATCAAAGTTATTACTTTGACACTTTAATTTAACATTGCACTCTTCTTTGATACAGCAATAATGCACACTTTCCTTATATAGTAAGTGGTAGACCCAATATTCTTAATCATGAATTCATTTTTATCCATGTTCAGAACTTAGCTTCCTCATTACCCATCTTCTTTCACAACTTTTTTCAGAGGCATTATTTCTTCAACCCCAACATCATCCCTAATTATAGATTCATACATCGATCTCAGAGCAAAATTCATACATCGATCTCAGAGCAAAATTGTATCATTGCATTTGATTTTCCTTCTTGAACGAGCAACCGAGCAGTTACTGGAAGTCGGAGTCATTTAACATCCTTGGTCCTTCCCTTGACCTTGCATAGAGAAGAAAAAGGTATACTATTAGTACTGTTTTTTTTTTTTTTTTTGCAAGTATTTTTAATTAGTGAGTCTGTACATAAATTTGGTTACATGTTGTAGTATAATGTTTTGATCTTTATAGCTTGAATTTGAAACAAGGAAGATGATTATATATGTGTATACTTGACTACTTGTCAGACAAATAAATAATGTTATAAGATAGTAAAACAGCAATTATTAACTAGATTTACAGTACACCAAAAAAGAAAAAGGAGAGAATTTTACAGTGTTCAAGTAAATTAAAGGTTTCTAATTGCATCAAGAAGCCCTGCAGGAGAAGATTTTTACAATATAACAATCATGAGACAAATAATTAAACTAAGAACAAAGAAATTAGACTCTGTAGGGACTAGTCCTGTAGGAGAGTTGAGATTCGAGTCAAAGAAGCAAGTTGTAGGTCCAATTGTGAGCCTGAGCTGGTGGCAGAAGATTGGCCTGGTGAGCATAAAAGCGCGGAGGAGTCTCCACAAGAGACATTAGACCAATGACCAACCGTGACTACTCTTGCAGTGGCCAGCAGACTCAGTATTGATGGAGAATGTTTCAGAGTCTAAGTTACATTCTGAAATATAATATGGAAACTTGAAGAATATAAATGCCTAAATTTCTATGTTCTGTTTCACTGTATTAGCATTGTTCATAGTATTTATCATTGCAGTTATGGAGAAGAAATGTGAAGGCTGTAAAATTGCGGAGAATTATAAGTATTGGTTTGAATTTCCTGCAGTAAAACACCAATTCTTCAAGGTCATGCTTGGAGATTTCAAGCACCAATTGGTAGGAAAAGATGTTTTGAAAGCTACTGTACTTAAATTACTAATATCAGCTTACTTGATTGAATTTTTTGGTGAACTTTTCTTGCAGAAAATTCCTCGGAAGTTCATGGAGTGTTTCAAGGTGAAACTCTTACCGTGGTGTACACTTATAGGACCGAGTAAAAACAAATGGAAAATCAGACTCTCGAGTACAGGTGATGAAACATCATTGAAGTTTTCAGATGGCTGGGAACAGTTTGTTAGTGATAATGGAGTGGAAGAAGCTGACTCCCTAGTGTTTCGTTTTGTTAAAGACTCCTCGTTTGAGGTGACAGTGTTTGACATGAGTGGTTGCGAGAGAGAGGGGTGTCACTTCTCCATTAATTCCAATTCAAGCTCAAGAAGAACTTCTTGTAGAAGTACCCTCCACATCAGTCATGGTAGTGTGGCTAAAGAAGAAGTTGAGATTTGTGACTCATCATCAGAGGATTGCTCTTTGTGGGATGAAGGCGAAGAAGAGACTAAGGATGTAAGTCATGTAATGGAAGAAGAGCGGGAAGGAAGCTCAAGTGAAGGTAATACAAACTAGTCATTCCTTATTCGAGTTTGCATACTATATATACTGTATTCTGTAACACATGAATTAATAAACATATTACTGTATTATAATTTGATGACCAATTGACCATGGTGCAGGAAAACTTCCTCAAAGCCAAAAGTACTTCATATCGAATAGGCGGGATCTAAAACCTGGAGAAAAAAAAAGAGCTTCCAAGATGGCTGAATGTTATAGGCGCAGCATGAAGGATAACAAGAGAGTGTTTCCTGTGTTTCAGATAACCATGCTGCCTACACATGTTTACAGGGGATTTAATCTGGTTTGTCTTCCTTTATACATGCAAAATTTGTAAAATTTCTTGGCTGTTTCAATATGAATTTGGGTGGATTTTAATTTTTTATTTTCTTGTTTGTAGACAATCCCAAAGAATTGGGCAAAGAAGCATATGATCAAAGAGCCTCACGAGGTGGAGCTGCATGTTCCAGGTTCTATAAAGGGAAGTTGGAGAGTCGGATGCAGATGGACCAAAGGAGGATCTATACAATGCCAACTCAGATCAAAGTGGCCGTTATTTGTGCTGGAAAACAACTTGGAGGAGCATGATACTTGTGTCTTTGAGCTGATTCAGAAGGGGAAATTAGATAATGTTAGAACTCCCATCTTCAATGTCCACATATTTCGCACTTTTGACCACATTGTTCCCCTGACTGTGTCAACGCATATGGTCTAGCTCCGAGGAAAACAATGCAAGCTTGTTATCACTCTTTGGAAAACAATGCACCAATGCAAGCGTGCTAGAACCCTTCGTTCTAATGTGTGTATTTCAGTATTTCTACTAGGGTCGTGTTTATGAATTTCAGAACCTTAATGGTACCTTTGGATATGGACCTCCTCTTTGACTGATTTTATCTTCACTTTCTGGTGGAACTTAGGGCAAATATGTATGCAACTTTTATTTGTTCTTGTGTTAAATTTTCCTTGATGAGTTGATTTTATCATCATGTATGTTTATTGTTTTGTGCTGGTTGTACTCGCTGTGACTCTCTGTTATAGCCTTACAGGGGTACTTCTTTGTGCTTAGTTGTTACAGGAATGATATTCTGTTTATTTTTTTGTTAGAATATCAAGACTGTCTGCTTCTTTTATCAGAAGCCTTGAGTAACCTATGCTAGAAAAAATTTGTAGCCAAAAAACAGTCATGATTCTATTCATTAGTACAAAAATAAAACACCAACCAATTCTAACTGCAATCCAACTCAAATTTCTGTAGTTTATAGTAAGATTTATATTTGTATATGCTTTCAAAAATGAAGAACTAACCTGGTGTATAAGTGTATAACTTGGCACATTTTTCAATCGACACTAGATGGTTTTGGTCTTCTTCTAGCCTTGCCATTTAGCCACTGCACCAATCCTCAACCAGGGCTATTGTACTTATACTGACATCCTGTAGCTGGACAATGTTAATAACACCAAATATATACTAACTGGCCTTCAAAACACCCCCTCTCCAAACAGACACATACACACGAGCACATGCACACAATGAGAGTAGCTAGAAACGGCTATATGTGTATATGGATGAATCTTACCATTGTGAAATTATGAATTAATCAGTAAAATTATGTAGCAGGACCATGAATACTAAATTGACAGTAATACTTAGCACTTTAAGCATCTTTTACAGGAAGGCAGAACTTCGAACTTCATAACAATAATTGCAAGTCACTGATCACTACTACTTTCATAAATCCACGAGGACTACTACATACTATGGTTATTGGTCTATGCCATTGCAGATGTGAGCTCGAGCTCTTAGAGAGGAAATGATTCTAATTCTGCTTCATACACCACACCCCGGCCCTCTACTGATTTTCCCTCTTAAAAGCAAACATAGTCCTTCAAGCGCACTATAAGGAAGGCATTTATTTAACTCTTGTTCAGTTGCTCCCAAATTTCACATGCACAGCACAATTTCTTTCCTAAGGGGCTCCTGCTACTTGAAACCATTTGCATGTTATAAAATAGATAAGTCAGAAAAGACTCTGTAATAAGTCAAACCAATGAATACTGCAAAGTAAAATCAGACTAGAATTTACAAATTACGATAGCTAAGTTGGACTGCAATGAGCTCATAAGTTCTATATCGCCTAAAAAACTAAAAGCTGTTGCACGACAGCCTGCCCTGCTATCCTTTCTTTCCTTGCAGTCACCAGAACTATTGTGCCAGCACCTCTGCCTATTCAAATAATCGCCTCCTACCATTTCGATGCCTTCACCTCCTAGATCTTCATTACCCTCACCTACTTAACCAAAATTTCAATTTTCTCTTCTTTCTTTAATACCTTTTTCTCCTATCACTTTCTCAGTCCCAAGACTCCCAACTACTAAATGAGCTGAATGATATCTGCTTTTGAACATCTTATTATTGACTTGTAAACAATTGAGCACACGTTTTCGTCCTTGCCACCATTGTTTTCGTTCTGACTTACTACCGCTCTATCGTTAAAAAGTGCCTAGCAAATGCAAACATACAAGTACAGAACAAATGGTATTACTAATTAACTAAGTAGTCCCAGCAACAGCTCATCTTTCACCGAGATCATATCATAAAGCACACTATTATATGTGTAAAAAGTATAATGAAGATACATCTGCCATCATACATATACCACAGTCCTGTAAGCCAGCCAACAACGACAAGCCACAAGCCTATAACTGATGTTCAAGTCCTCTTGCTCCCCTGCACACACACACACACGCGCACAAAGACACACAGCAAAAGTAGCTGCTAGAACAGGCTGAATTTGCATATGGATAAATCTTCCTAGCATGAATTTAACAGATACAGTAGGTACTCAGTATTGTAATAAGACGCGATGAAAAAAATAGTTCATTATCACCAACTGCAAATTTTATAATCAATCAGCTTCCCAGCAGGACCATAACCATAAGTCCATAAAACTAAAAGAGTAGCCTTGGAGTTTAAGCAGTTAGTTCAATGCATAAACATCAAATACTTCAAGTTAAAATGCTTTGGTTATACTATAAACACTAATGTAAAAAAATAAAACATCAAATGCTTCAAGAGTTCAAGTTAAATGCAACGGTGCAAAAAGAGCGCGAAAAAAGTAATATAAAAAAGAAAAAAAATAAGTACTCCAATTTAAATGCAGCGGTTGCTCAAAAACCGAAGCAATTTAATATTTTTTATTTACCCCACAAATACAAGAACAGCCTAAATTTACCCTCTTTCATTCATTCCAAGAATTTCCAACCCAAACTCTCAACAGTGAAGGAAAGAGCACGCCGCGTTGCGCCACCGCTTTCTATCATTGCGCAACCCTCAACGGCCACCGCCAATTGCCGCAACTCCGACCATTGCGCCTTCTCTTCAACGGTAAATTTATCTATTTTTCATTTTTTTTTTGTTTAATGAAAAGTTGCTTAATAATCATGTTATTGTTCTTTATGTTGGATGTGTTTTTGCTTGATTTTTGCTATTTTGTGCGTTAATTTGTAAATTAGTAACTTAAATTAAGGGGTTTTTAGTGGGTTATTTTGAGTGGTTTGAACTTTGAAGATTGTTGTTATTAATAATTGTGGTGGATTAAGAGATGAAGATGATTGTTTGAATGTTATTAAACAATAACCTAGAATTGTAAAGTATTACAAACTCAGTAGTTTTTGTTTTTATTTTCTTTTTTGATATAAGTATTACTCCATATTTGCTACACACCAAGTAGAACGATGAATATAAGGGCGATTTTCCTTAATATTGTTAAAATAAAAATTAGTTCCTTCATTGTTTTGGTGTTTAAACAAATTTCTCAATACAGTCAAAGTAAAATCGGAACCACTAATGGTATTAGCGATTTAAAAAGGAAGCTGACTAAGGGGAAAGGGAAGCTGATTTTAATGAAACGTCAAAGACATCTTTCTTTAATAACAACCGGTCTCTTTTCCTCCTTAGTAAATGACCAAATTCTATGCAAAATCCAGAGGACTAAAACAATGTGAGAATTCTAGATTTTAAAATTTAAAGACAATCGATTTTGTGAGAATTCTAAATGTTAGTGGTTCATACGTATTTACTAATTTAGTGACTGCCTTGGTGAACTTTGTATATTAATACTAATGGGGTTTTGGATTGTTAATAGGGCTTCTTGATGGAGAAGGATCGTAGTTGGATGTATGGTAGATGTGACATAGAAGAATTCTTGAACGGTGTTTCTGAATTCTGTAAAAGTGCTTTAATAAATCAAGCTAAAGCAGGAAGAGATAAGTTTTATCGTCCTTGTGTTGATTGTAACAATGTAAAAATAATTAGTAGTATTGAGGTGATTAGAGAGCATGTACTTCGCCGTGGGTTTAAACCTTTCTATCACGTATGGTTTTGGCATGGTGAAGCGAGCATAGACTCAAGTGTAACTTTACCACAAGACATGAAGTCCATTAAAGATACATTAAGAGAACACCTGAGACATGAGATGGAAAGTAAGTTTGCTATAATCTTACCATACTTGGGCATGCAGGTAAAGGCAGCTTATTGCTTATTGCCAATTTTTTTCCACTAAACATATGTATGCCTATAATTAAGCAGTTATGTTTTTTAGGAAGAGACACCTTGCAAACTTTTGTACACAGGATCATGTACCATTGATAAATTGCGTATGGTGGCCGAGGGCAATGCACAACCACCAAGTGAGCGCTTACAAGTCCATTTCCAGTCAATCCCGATGGGATACTTTGCAATCGAAGTATACAAAGTTCATGATGGTTTCGAGGATTTAACAGTTGCAAGGCCTAGTAAGGACTCTAACATCTTAAAACTGCGCGATGCCATTGGTAGTTTGATACTATGGCTGTGTGCATGGTTGAGGATTTCAGCCGAGGTAATTATATTTTGCTATAAAAAACTGTTGGAGATACACACATCTTGTGGCATGGTTGTTTATTTGTTGATTTATTAATGTACTTTGTAACTAGACCTTACAGAAAACAAAAGCTCCTAAAAGAAAGAAAACGGATACACAAGCTAGCAATATTGGTCCACAATTAGGAGATTTGAACGAACAAAGAAATCAAAAAACTGAGATCAAAGGGTCGATAAAGACTTTACTTGTTGGACTGAATGTGCTTGGATCTCTCAGTAAGGCATGCAATTGGTTGCATATAAACGTTTGCGGGTTGCCTGATGGGAATCCTATTGCTGTTGATCTGACTAAGTCTTTCTGCAACTCTCCTGAGGATGCAAAGACATGGATATTTAAAGCTGATGTCTCATTGTTCCTCTCTGGTGATATGGTTACATACCAATTATGCAAGCTTTTGTAAGGTAATATTTTTATATTAAAGATATTTAAGAGTATTAATGGCATGTCAAAATTTCTTTATTATTGTGTTTGATTGTGCATTCAGGTCACTTCAAGAGCACTTGAATGGATGTGATTGTCAGATTGGGTGGTTATGTCCGGAACAAATTTCTGGTTCTAATAGCTGGACCAATGTATGGAAAGTCCGTGATTACATCGATAATGGTATTAAAGAATCAATTCATGTTGGAGACAAGTTCATCTTTGCCCCATACATTGAAAAGTATGTCTAATTATACGCTTTAGTAGCTTAATTGCACATGAAAATTGATTATAATGGTATCAAACTATGTTGTATTTGTAGTGCCCATTGGTCGCTCCTTGTGATATGTGTTACAAGTCATACAATTTATCAATTCGATTCTATGCGTCAAGTTCCACCAAGATTCATAGTTGTTAAAACACCATTGAATAGGTACCTTTGGTATTCAATTTATAAATATCTACTAATCTTTGTATACATGCATGTTATTTCAAATTTTCAACTAAGATTGATTGGGATTGTGCAGTGTGCTGAAAAAAATTAATTACAAAGGTCTAAATAAAAACGTTGTTCCTCAATGGAAATCTATGTAGGTAGGTAATAAGTTTTTTTTTAAGAAATATCTCAGCAATTTAAGAGTCATTGTTTACATATGTATCCTTCTTAATCTGATCGTTATGTTTGTTAGTGTGAGAAACAAGAGATTAGCATCGAGTGTGGCTACTACATGATGAGATTCATGTATGAATTAGCCACAAATTGCAAAGAAGCTGAGGATTTAGAGAAGGTATAGTTTATTGCTATTAGTTATATTTGTGATGGTGATTTTTATTCATGTCAAGTTTGCATTTGGAGGTGTGTAGGGGTGGTCAATAAATTTGCCTAAAGTCTGTATTAGCGAAGTTGTGTCAAATAAGGTTGGAGGGAGTGGAAAACAAATCATTCAAATGGAAGCTAATGTGCATGTAAGAACACAAGTTCACCCATAATTTCCAAAACTACCTAATACAAATCGAATTGAATCTAAATAACTAAAGAAACCTAATTTTAAATACTGTTTTTGTTCCTTATAGTCCTTTTTCACCTTCCTTTTTGAGGTTGTTCCATGGTTCATTACATTTTCATATCATTTATTATTTGATGAATGTTTTTGGCCTTCAGACCTTATTAAAAATACTCCTTTTGTTCCTTAAAGTCTTTTTCACCTTTCGTTTTGGGGTTGTTCCATAGTACATTTCATTTTCACGTCATTTATTATTTGATGAATGTTTTTGGCCTTCAGAAGCTAAATATTCTTTTTGTTCATTAAAGTCCTTTTTACCTTTTCGTCAAAAAAAAAAGGTCCTTTTTACCTTCCGTTTTGGGGTTGCTCCATTGTTCATTTCATTTTCATATCATTAATTATTTGATGAATGTTTTTGGCCTTCAGAACCTAATTTTAAATACTCTTTTTGTTCCTTAAAGTCCTTTTCCTTTCGTTTTGGGGTTTTTCCATAATTCATTTCATTTTCACCTCATTTATTATTTGATGAATGTTTTTAGCCTTCAAAACCTAATTGTAAATACTCTTTTTGTTCCTTAAAGTCCTTTTCACCTTCCGTTTTGGGGTTGTTCCATAGTTCATTTCATTTTCACATCATTTGTTATTTGATGAATGTTTTTGGCCTTCAGAACCTAATTTTATATACTCTTTTTGCTCCTTAAAGTCCTTTTCACCTTCTGTTTTGGGGTTATTCCATAATTCATTTCATTTTCACATCATTTATTATTTGATGAATGTTTTTTGGCCTTCAGAACCTAATTTTAAATATTAAATACTCTTTTTGTTCCTTAAAGTCCCTTTCACCTTCCGCTTTGGGATTGTTCCATAGTTCTTTTCATTTTCACATCATTCATTATTTGATAAATGTTTTGTTGGCCTTTATACCTTATCCCCTATGTTGGACTTACTTTGTTCCACACTCTCCCACAACCACATTCACATTCCCATTTGTAAAATAAAAATGGATCCACGTTTACATTCTTTTACTCTTGGTAAGTGTTTCTATAGAACTGGGAAGAACATTAGAAAACGTAAAGAATATTCATATTTGACCTCAAATAAGCTGGAATAAACGTAGGTAAAACAAGTTCGCATTGAATTTTCTAAAACCATAAAAAGAAAAAAAACAAAAAAAGTTAAGATTGAACTTAAATGACTATAAAGATTAAAGAAACCTAAATAAACCAAATTGATCTCAAATAAGTTAGAATTTACTTAAAATGAACAAGCTCACCTAGTCAAATCAAATGGAAATAACTCAAAAAGAGCTTAAACAAGCCAAAATTACATCAGATATGCAAGAAATTGTTTGAAATGGAGAATGTTTGCCTATGAATAAGCCCAAATTTCTACCTTTTAAAAAGTACGACTAAACTCTTATACATAGTGGTAAGACGATTATGCCCTTAAAATGTTTCTTTACATATCTACCCTTTAAAAAAATATGACTAAACTCTTATGAATAGTGTTGAGACGATTATGCCCTTAAAATGTTTATTTACATATTTATCCTTAATCAAATATATTTTCTCCTTTTTTGTTTTAAACTTAATTAATTATTATTTCCACCTTTTAAAAAAGTTTGAGACAACTCTTACGAATAGTGTTTGAACAATTATATTTTTTAAAATGTTTATTTACTTGTTTACCCTTATTAATGTTAATTACCTCATTTTTGAACATTTAAGAATAGTGTGCAAACATTTATACCTCACAATTGAAGTTATGATATAAGGCCAAATCGAAAAAGCTCTATGGTTATGTCTAGCTATGGCGCTCGCATCGCGCGCGTTAGCCACCCTAGTTACCTCAAATATGTAAGAAGTTTCTTAAATAAAACAGGTTTTCCTACCAATTACCAAAAGCATCATTTACTAGTGAAATTACTTAACATTAACATAAATAAGCCAATATGAACTCAAATGATAAGGTAAAAGTTACTAAAATTTTAAAAGCTCTCCTTTAAACTTCCAAAACCATCAAATGGAAGTAAAATAGAATGTAGATAACTTACAAAGAGCCTTTAAACCAAAATGACCTCAAATTACTTGGAAGTTTCTTAATAGAATAAGTTTACCCATAATTTGTCAAAACCACCAAAAGCAAGTTGATTGAGCTTTAATCACTCAACATGAAGATAATTAAGCCAAAATGACATTAAATAAGTTTGAAGTTGCTTAGATAGAACAAGGTCATCTAGGATGTTCCTAAATCACCCATCGTATGTCATATTAAACTAAGATGATTCAATATGAACATGAATTATCAAAAATGACCTAATATATGCTAGCTATTCCTTAGATTGAACGATCTCACCTATAATTTGCCTAAACTACCAAAATGAAGTGAACTCGAACATATATCACCCAAAAAAACCTAAATTCAGCAAAATGACCTCAAATAAGCTAGGATTTAATTAAATAGAACAAATTCTTCTATAGTTTACCAAAACCACCAAAAGCAAGTCTTTAACTTAAGTGATTATACAAGAACATAAATAAACCAAAATGACCCTTATTAAGCTAGAAGTTGTTTAGATCGATTAAGTGCACCTATAATATTCCAAAATCAGCTAAATAACTCAAAATGGAAATTTGACCCTTTAAGTGCACCTATAAGGCAAATGGAAATTTGATGACTCAAAATGATTGTTTATATCATAACCTACAATATTCATATTTCTAACTTAAGTTTTATTTGTTTTTATGGTGCTCTTACTTATTAGGTCTTCAAGATATTATGGAAATCGCCAGTAGTGCCGTTTAGCAAAGAGGAAATACGTAAAGTTCGAGACATTTGGGCTACCTACATCACTGATAGTTGTCTTTAAAGCTCGATATTGTAATGACTCTTTTGGTTTCTCTATGGAGCAACTTTGTTATCCTATGTATATATGTCAAGTTTGCAAAATTGGTGAATTTGTGTGTGGTGGTGGCTGATGCTGGTTTGTGAGGTGGAAAGAGGTGGTGCTGGTTGAAAAGGTAGTTGCAGCCCTTGCAAGTGGTGGTAAAAGTGCTCCAGTTCATCTAACAAACCAGAGCATATAACATAATTAATGCTCTAATTTAAGTGCAACCGAAGCTTTTGATGTCTAATATGCTTCAGTTTATTAGAGGAAGCAGAGAAATTGATGTTCTGAATGCATGAGTTTTTTTTGGAGGAAGCAGAACAATTGATGTGTTACATGCTCTATTTCATCACAGTCTGTCTTTGGAATCTTAGCAGTTTGCACCGTGTAAGCACATATGTATTTTTCTACAGAGACGAGTGTGACCATTTTATCTCACAGCAATATAATGTCCTATTTCACTGTCTTGATGTCTCTGGCCTTATATGCATTTTTTTTGGGTCTGAATTATATAATTTCTCTTCTGTAATCTTTGTCCGTACCTTTTATCGTGCATAATTAATCTGATCAGGCACTTAAGAACACGAGTTGTAATTAACTTAAATGATAAAAAATTTTGTATGGGATCACTCAGATTACCCCCATTATATTTTTACCTCTTTAATCTTCTTCAAAGTATGGTTGTGTTCTTAAAAATATCTATGAATATAGGACAAAAATCAAGCATATGGCTACTGAAATTAGGAATGTTTGTAGTCATATGTCTGCCCCTATATAATTGGTCCATGTGATATACAGTATCATATAATAATTTGATGCTGAACCATTGCACACAAATTTGGTGTTGCATGACTCAATAATATTCCACAAGTATGTATTCCCTTTGTTCAAAATTAATAGTCACGTTATTCACGTCAATAGAGACCTTTATTTGTTTGTCACACCCTTTAATCTTTTCAACAACCATCTTCAACTGCATTCCTCTGCCTCTGATCTCCTTTCAAAATACAGCCTTAATAATCTCACACTTGATCTTCCTGACATCCTTGAACGATAGATTTCTGCGGTTCCGCCATCAGTCACCAGTGATCAGGGGGCTGTTTAACGTTGTATTGTTCTTGCACTGAAAGGATAAAAGGTATGCCATTTGTACGTACTATTGTTTTTATTTGTAGGAGGTATTGGTGAGTGAAAAGATTTGGTTGCATTATTGCATTTATAATATAGTTCATTTACATTATTTCATTTAGCAGTTATGATTAAATTGCATTATTATTTCTCACTTGTAATGGAACCTGTAATGTACATTATTTATTTAATTAATTAATTAATTTATTTGGTAAAAAGGAACTAAGAAAATTGTGATTATTATAAATTTATAATATTTGTCTACAAAACATCATAAATTACGATTCTTCAAAAGAAAAAAAAATGATAAATTAAGAGTGACATAACACCAGAAAGTTGATACAAATTATAACCAACATAATGTTTCAACATCTCAAATTAAAGTTCATATATGGATTAATTGGCTAACTTGTATTAAAAAAAATGTTTTTTTTATTTTTTTACACAGTGTTTAATTGAAACTTTCAATAAATCAAAGCAAAATATAATGAAAAAAAAAGAGGCCTGGGATTGTTGATTTGCTGAGGCTTGAGTCAGAGGAGCAAGCTCTATGTAGGCTCAAGTTGTGTGCCTGAACTGGTGCTGGGGACTAGGCCCGGTGATCATGAGATTCTCGTGGAGCTGTCATTGGTGAAGGGTGTGGAGACATCACGTCGCACACCCCCCATTAGGATGTTACAATCAGCTGACAGTCATCAAAACCTGAAAAGAATATGAAAACCTGAGTTTGAGCCTAATTTATATTGCACAAATATTTACAATTTACTATAGGACTGAAGGAAAATAAAATCAGAAGAGCAGAGAAAGTAGTGATTAGATTGTAAACATCTAGTAGTCTAGTGTTTATCTAGTACTTTGCATTGACCTTTGGCATGGCTTCAAATTGAATAGTTGATTTTATGCATTCGGATGCATAAATTCTATGTTATTAGTCATTATATAAGCGTTGTTGCATAAACTTATCATTGCAGAAAAATGCACTGGTTGAGAAATAGCAGATCTATAAATATTGGTCTGAATTCCTTACAATTTAGCACCAATTCTTCAGGAGTTTGAGTAAATTCTGACATATAATATGGGAACATGAATAATGTCTGAATTTCTATGTTATTTCTATGTTCGGTGTCACCTAAATTTATCACTGCAGTTATGGGGAAGAAATGCGAAGGCTGTAAAATTGCGGAGAATTATAATTATTGGTCTGAACTTCCTGCAACAAAACACCAATTCTTCAAGGTCATGTATGGCGATTTTGAGCACCAAATGGTAGGAAAATATGTTATGAAAGCAACTGCACTTATATTATTAATATATATTAGCTCACTTGATTGAATTTTTTGGTGAACATTTCTTGCAGAATATTCCTCAGAAGTTCATGGAGTGTTTCAAGGAGAAACTCTCCCCGTGGTATACACTTATAGCGCCAAGTAAACACAAATGGAAAATCAGACTCTCGAGTACATATGATGAAAGGCCATTGGTGTTTACAGATGGATGGAAACAGTTTGTTCGTGACAATGGAGTGGAAACAAATGACTTCTTAGTGTTCCGTTTTGTTGGAGACTCCTCGTTTGAGGTGTCAGTGTTTGACAAGAGTGGTTGCGAGAAAGAGGGTTGTCACTTTTCCATTAATTCCAATTCAATCTCAAGAAGATTCTCTTGTACAAGTAATCTCCACATCAACCATGGTAGTGTGGCTAAAGAAGAAATTGAGATTTGTGACTCATCATCAGAGGATTATTCTTTGTGGAAGGAAGACGAAGAAGAGACTGAGGATGTAAGTCATGTAATAACGGAAGAAAAGAGGGAGAGAAGAGGAGGCTCAAGTGAAGGTAATGCAAACTAGTCATTCCTCATTAGAGTTTGTCTATAATTTGAATTCATATATGTATTACTGTATTATAATTTGATGGCCATGATGCAGGAAAATTTCCTCAAAGCCAAAAGTACTTCATATCGAATAGGCGGGATCTTAAACCTGGAGAAAAGAAAAGGGCTTCCAAGATGGCAGAGTGTTATAGGCGCAGCATGAAGGATAATAAGAGAGTGTTTCCTGTGTTTCAGATAACCATGCTGCCTACACATGTTTACAGGGGATTTAATCTGGTTTGTTTTCGTTTATATATGCAAAATTTGTGGATTTTCTTGGCTGTTTCAATATGAATTTGGGTGGATTTTTTGTTTTTGTTTGCAGACAATCCCAAAGGTATGGGCAAATAAGCATATGATCAAGGAGTCTCACGAGGTGGAGCTGCGTGTCCCAGACTCTACAAAGGGAAGTTGGAGAGTCGGATGCAGATGGACAAAAGGAGGATCCATACAATGCCAACTCAGATCAAAGTGGCCGGTATTTGTGCTGGAAAACAACTTGGAGGAGCACGATACATGTGTATTTGAGCTGATTCAGAAAGGAATTTCAGATGATGTTAGAACTCCCATCTTCAATGTCCACATATTTCGCACTGTTGACCACATTGTTCCCTTGACTGTGTCAACACGTATGGTCTAGCTTCGAGGAAAACGTTGCAAGCATGCTATCTCTCTCACCCTTTGTTCTGCTAAAACTATGAGCATTGTTTTTATGGATACTCTATCGAATTGTGTGTGTGTTAGAAGTCCCTGATGACTGATTACTACTACTTTCATAAATCCATGTTTATTGGTTGCAGATGTAAGCTAGAGATCTTAGAGAGGAGATGATTCTAAATCTACTTCATTCACCACACCCCTCTACAGATTCTCTCTTAAATGCAAATATAGTCCTTCAAGCGCACTATTAGTAAGGCATTTAATTAACTCTTGTTTGGTTGCTCTTGCTCCCAAGTTTCTCATGCATAGCACATTTTCTTTCCTAAGGGACATCCTGCTACTTGAAACCATTTGCATGTTATAGAATAGATAAGTCAGAAAAGACTTTGTAGTAAGTCTAATCAATGATTGCTTAGAAGTAAAATCAGACTAGAATTAACAAACTATGATATATAAATTGGACTGCAATGAGCTCATAAGTTCTATATCACCTAAAATCAGTTGCACTACAGCCCGCTCTTCTCTTGCAGTTACCAGAACTCCTGTGCCCGCACCTCTGTCTATTCAAATAGTCGCCTCCTACCATTTTGATGCCCTCACCTCCTAAACCAAAATTTCACTTTCTCTTCCTTCTTTAACGCCTTTTTCTCCTATAACTTTCTCAGTCCCAACTACTTCATGAACTGAATGGTGTCTACTTTTGAACGTCTTATTATTGACTATTGAACAATTTAGCATGTGTAATTGTGTTGACTTGAGAGGATTATATAACTTTTCTTTCCACGTGCAAAGGCACTACTTTCGTCCTTGCCACCATGATGTTTCTGTGTTTGAGCTTTAGTGTCTACCTATTTCGCGATGATCGCATTGTTCCCTTGACTGTGTCAAGGTTTATTGTCTAGCTTTGAGGGAAACAATGCAATAATTTCTCCCTTGCCAATCTGCTCAACTTTGAGCATAGCCTACTCCATATGACTGCATTTCAGTATTTTTACCAAGTTTATGTTTATTAAGGTGCTTTGCAATATCAATGATATCCTTAGATATGGACCTCCTCTTTTGCTTGATTTTACCACTACTTCCTGGAGGAAGTTAAGGCTTAGGCTTACAATAGATTAGACTCCGTTTTTGATTTAGTGACATGATCAGACTTTTTCGGATTACTTTAAACATTGTACGTTTAGCTCTTACAATAGATAAGACTCCGTTTTTTATTTAGTGACATGATCAGGCTTTTCCAGATTACATAAAACATTGTATGTTAAGCTTTGAATTTCCTTGCAACAATTTAGATTCTGTGTCTGTAATATTATTGTATATTGATTTCCTTATCAAGTAACAAAATGAACGTGTGAAAGACGGACTCTAAGGAATCATTGTGCACCTGTGTGAGACTTTTCTGTTTCACTTTTTTCTTGGACTAAAGTGACAGTGTTGTGAGCACAGAAGTAGGATGCAGTTTATTTTTGTAAGTGAATGGGTACAAATGATTTAGCTTGAGCATTTCTCACCTTTATCTAATTGTAGTACATAAAAGCCGCGCAACATTCCTTAACCTGTTTCCAAACACCTGAACATGATAATACAATCACATAAAAACAGTAAATGATCAAGTTAGATCATGCATCTTTATCTGCCATTCTGCTTTTTGATTTGTGCCGGCCCCTTCCGAAATCAATGGGAGTCGATATGCCTTTTAATTCCTCTTTCCACTCTGCCATCGTACTTCACAAGTTCCTTTACAAACTTGTATGATCATTGTTTGTTGTTGTTGTTGTTGAGACTTGAGAGAAGATCTTTATGGTCACTTAACAAGATTTCTCTTACATAGTGCAGCAACTTTTTGTGCCTTTTGTCGAAATAAAGAGCAAAAGGAAGGATTGAGCAACTGCACAAGTAAATTTGGGGTGCTGTAAAGCTGAAATTCAGTACAGAAATCTATGATTATGTGAATATGCTATCATTACCAGCATCTAAACATAACAGTTTAACTTACACCTTTAGGCAAATCAGACTGAAAAAGATTGAAAAAAATGAAAACGCCCACCGTGGGGCTCGAACCCACGACCACAAGGTTAAGAGCCTTGCGCTCTACCAACTGAGCTAGACGGGCTGTTATTTGATACTAAAATGTGCTAAATTTATTTAAAAGTTTATATAATCTTGATTGTTTACAACCGTATAAGAATTTAAGGAAAGAAATTCTTTGAAAGTCCCTATGAATATTGTAATTTATTGGTTATTAATTATATGATTATATGATACTTGTATAATATATTAGTTATATAATACATTTAATACTACCTCCGTTTTTTTTAGTTGATACATTTTGACTTTGTGCACTATTCACATAACCTACTTTGAATTCATTTTATGATTTAGTTTTAAATAAATATATATTCATGTGGGATCTTGTTAGCTTTATTTCAATGTCTATTTTCCAAATATCAAAATTTCATAATTTTTGCTGATACGTAACTAAAGATATTCACATTTAAAAGTATGCGTTGGCAAACGTGTATAAATCAAATGTATCAACTAATAAAATTATTCCTAGATTATATCTTTTCCTCATATTTGTTAGATTACAATAATATAGTACTATACTTCCTCCGTTATTTAACTATTGCACCACTTATCTATTGAGACGGTTTCATAAATATTTCACAAATACTATTTTAGGAAACAAAAATTTTCTGTTCACACCATAAACCCCTTAATATAGCCTTATTTTGAACACTTATTCTTTAGTTTGTGTTTATATTACATGAACCAATCCATTCTAGCTTAGTGAACCAAACAACACCTTAGTGACATGCATGATTAGACTTTAACTAGTTTACATTAGTACATTGTATGTTTAGCTTTGAAATTATTTAAAACAAATTACTCCTTAACAAATTAGGTGTATAAGTGTATTCTCTGTGTGTCTATGAGATTATTCTAGATTAATTTCCTTATCAAGTTACAAAATGAACGCATCTGCCATCGTACTTCTCAAGTTCCTCTACAAGCTTGCATGATCATTTTCGTTGCTGTTTTACAATGCTCCAGTTTATTAAAGAAAAAAAAATCAAAATAATAACTAAAGAAATAAGCCAATTAATTTCCGCTATATTAGTACCGGTATTATATAATTTGTTATTTTAAAACACTCATATCATTTACAGTTAACATGGGAAGATGAGTATTAAATGGATGTGGATACACATGAGTAGAGGGACTGACGATAAATTTTGTTTTGTACCCAGTAGGGCTGAGATTAAAATGGGAAGGGGGTGGATGAGATATTAGGTGAGGATGGGAATGGGAGCACAACGTTCAGATTATCATCCGCTCCGCCCCATTGACATCCATAGGTTGCATACTCATATACAGGACAGCCAGCATGGCAATGAAGGTAGTTGGGCCGACTGTAGTCTAGCAAGTTTGCACCCTTTAATCTTGAAACCTGAACGCCAAAAGAAAAAAAAAAAAAAAAAAAAAAAAAAAAAACCTAATGTACCTAGCAAAACTCCACATAAATGTACCTGCCCATCCACAACATTAAGGCCACCAACTTACAAGGTAAAATATGAAGAGTAGAAACTCAGAGAGATACATGAATTTTTTCCTTCAATTATACTAAGAATCAATCTTTACAATGTTATCAGATGAAACAAAAACTAATCCAACCTCTCATTTACATGGAGTGCTCCAGTTTCCTCTATTCCTAAAGCAACAAGCATTGCTGTTATGCAACAACTAAGCTGCCAAAAATGCAAAATTTGCTGCGCATCTTACACTACAATGTCAGCAGAGGCTAACAGCTAATACTAGTATTTACCTAGCAGTAATAGTTTGCTTCTGAACTTCACTAGAAGTGAAGTGCAGTAAATGTCAGTTATGATAGCTAAATCATAGCTAAGCTTACATGCTGCCTACCACAGCTACAAGCATAGCTAAACTGGTAAACTACATGCGGTGAAAGCTAGCTGCAAGTATAGCTAAACTAGTTGCTGTGAGCTATAGCACAAGCAAAGCTGAAGGATAGTAGTAATAGTATTAGGATATGGGATCATCAGAAGATGATCGCCTGTGGCCATTGTCCTCCTTTCAACTCGTTCCCATCACTCTGAACTTGAAAGTGCACAAAACTCCCTTCCCATCTGGGCATACTCCATGGGTCATCTCATCGACATCAATGTACGCACCTTCTTTTCTCTTTCTGCCCTCTTGGCAGCAGGAGTCTTCTCTAGTTTCTTTCGATCCTCCAGCCAAACTTCCCTAACCTTTTCAATCGAATTTAGTAGTCTTTTCTGTGGGGTCATGAAATCAGAACCTGTCTTGTAGTTATCAGCATTCCCAGGTGTGATCTGCCATACTTTAGTGGCTGGTGAGGGTTGAGGCTTTACTGAAATGGTAGGGAGGGGCGTTTGGGAACCAATTTCTTGCTCGGTCTCAGCATTTGGTGCCGTTGCAGTCTCTGTATTAGTCTGTTCTTCAGTGGTTTGATTCAGCTCAGCTCTCCTCCTCTCAATGGCCTGTGTACATCAGGAACAATGGAGGTATTGGTTCACAGATGTAGCAGTAAAGATACTAATACATAACACAGCACCTGCTACTTCGAATAATCAAATAAAAATCAAAAAGTCTAGAACATACACAACTTGTTAACCTTGTACAACTAAATGCCTAATTACTTGAATGTGGCAAGCGAAAAAACTTGTCCAATGAGTGACATTCAAGCCACATTGCTCGTGACACTTAAAAGTAAGCATGACAGACCAAACATTTATCTTCAACTGATTTTTCTAGATTCCAATGTAAAGTTTAAAGTAAGCCACTCTTAAGTGTTGAACTATTAGCCGACATCAATTCAAATACATCCAAAATTGGCACATCATATCCTATAGTAACCATTCTATCCAAATGGTAGCAATTTGAATGATACAGTAAAAAGTTCTAGTGTTCCACTTTACTAATCACATATACTAATGTCCCACATAAATTAATTTCAATAAAGATATAACAACTAATTTTTCAGAATCAGCTTTAAATCCCATCATTTCAACATCATAGTTCATATAACAAAATGCAATCTAATCATACCTACATGTAACAATACTAACACACATTAAAAAAATCATCAGAAAAGATGTCGAATTACTTGAATATCATTAATTAAACCAAATTACACTGAAAAAGATTATACAATACATGGGTCAGAATCATTACCCTCACAATAGCAGTGATATCCCTTAAAGGGGTTCTTGGATACCATGAAGGCAACCTACTTCCCCTGCCTCGGGAACCGCCATAACGTCGTCCAGCCATCGTCCTTGGAGTTCTGTTTTCCTGGCCTGTCTGCAGTTGCCTCTGTGTATACCAGCCTCGCCCAATCCCAGCTCTTCGACCCGATACACTACCACCACCTGAAACATTTCGAGGCCCGTCTCCAGATAACCCAGTCCAAGTAAGCCCGGGTTGATCGACAATAAGATCAACTCTCCGGGCAGCTCCCCGGTACAGAGCAGATATATCCACATGTCTTGCTAATCTATCTCTTGATGGTGTAGGCATTTTTTTATGCTTGAATTCCTGAATTTTTTTCAATCCAAGCTGAAATTAATTACAATTAACAATCATTTGAAACATAATATGCAGGTTTATGTGAGCCAGGTTTATGATGAAATTCGAATCAATTAAGTGAGCCAAATTTGAAGAAATGAGAATTAAAGACACCAAGAATTGATTCGCACATTTCAATTCAGCAGATAAACCCCATTTCTTCAACAAATCAATTGAATTAAAAATGAAAATACTGAGCAATAATTCAAGATAACCCAGTTATTATTGAAAAGTTGGTTAAATTAATTAGAAACGCAGATGATCAGTAATGATTAAAGAATCAAAGCAATACTCACCTAGAAACAAATTGTATATTTTACCCCAAAATTTGGCCCATAAAATTGAAACCCAGATTAACAAAATAAGCTTAAAGAAACCAATAAATTCAAACAAATGTTTTTACAGAAATTTGAGCTCAGATAAATAATTATTGGTTAGAAATGCCCAAATAAATTTTCGACGTAAAATGCTAAAAATCTCAAAGCGACGAATAAACTAACAAATTGAAAACCCAGATAAAAAGAAAAAAAACTCACCAATTTCAACAAATGCATTTGACATACACTCAAACCCAGATGAAAATCACAATCATCATCAATTAAAACGCAAAAAAAAATGACATGCCCAGATAAATTATCAACAAAAAAGCTTCGAATTAAACCGAAAACCCAGTAATATAAATAAAAATTGTCGATTAAATATACAAAACGAGACATACCCAATGAAATTCCTCCAGAAAATAAGAATTAGAACTGAAATTTTTGAGGAGGAGATGAAGAAGAAGGGAGAGAAAACTGAGTTGAGCAAAAGGGTAGAGAGAGAAAGTAGGAGAGAGAAAATGGCGAAGTTCAAAATGAGGAAGAGAAGCAGCTTTTATGGTGAAGGGTTTTGTAAATTTGCAGACAATTTTTTCATTTTTTTAATTTTTCTTGAAATTTTGAAATTGTGAGCGGGATTCTGAGATAATTTTGAATGGTAGTGAAAAGACGGAAATACCCTTGGTAGTTTGAATGAAACGGAGTTGGATTGAAGGGTATTTTTGGAATATTGGGATTGGGTCAGAACACGTTTGACCCATTATGGGTATAAATGTAATTTGAAAAGGACAAGTGGGGGAGTGATATAAGGAACATTTAGTCAACTTTAATTGGATTTAAATTTTAAAAAGGAGATATAAATATGGGTGGATTAATGCATAAGATATTACTCGTGTGATACAATTGTGAGTGGTCACAGCCTTAAGAGGGGTACACCCAGTGTTGGAGCGTATCATGATTTATGAATGAATGAATATTCAAGATTATACATTTATACTATATCTAATTATCTATATTGATTTTTATATTGGCACTGTCGTCACTCTTGTATCCTGTGATGTGCTCCTTTTTTTGAATTCTTCCTTCTTCATTCAGATTTGAATTATTTTTTGGTTGGATCGGATACAAGTCATACAATCAATATGATACGATATATTCGTGGATTGTTCGAAGTTAACCCGATTACGATATGGCAATAAATTAGCACAAATCGTAGTATATTATTAATTTTTTAGTGGGTTGCGGTTTGATTTTTCTATCCCAACCCACTTCAACCCACCCCAATCTAACTTGGCATATCCCGATCCACGACCCATCTAACCTGCTGACTAGGGTTGTGTAAAAATATTTGATCTAGTTGATTCGATCTCAAAATTTGACGATCAGATTCGAAATTTTGGTTATCCAATCTAGTTTTTAGGTTTTGGATATTTCAAATTAGATTTCGAAAAAAATCAAATTTTCGAATTGGACGTGGATCGCCTTTTTCAGAAAATTCTATGCCCCAATCGAGAAAATGATCAAATAATCTGATCCAGATATATTTTCTGATTTGAAAAGTCAGATTGAATTGGCAGATATCCACAATTGCACAACCCTTCCACTGACTCACCCAATATATTGAAAGTTCATTAATGCTCGTACATTAGACTTAACAATCACTTGGCATTCCAAAAGAATCAAATTATGGACAACTCAACTTACCTATAACACAGCTCAACTTGAACCATAGCGAGTGCTTGTTTTGGATCACCCAATCCCCAACCAAAACCCACCCTAACATAGCCTTGGAGTGCTCGAATCACCTTGCTGGTTAGAATTGTTGTCTATATGGTTTAGTCTTAGATGGTATGAATTTTTCACGTATGATCTAGCGTGTTTTGTATTTTTTTTTTATTTGGTTAAGTTTCGATATTAATAAAATTAGTACATTAACAAGAATAAAATGATGAAGAAAAGCCTAATTGACACATTTTCTGTTTTTAATCATCCTTACCTTTTCTATCAAAGCAACACTCATACAGTCATACTCATTTTAGTCTTAACTTTCTTATTTTCTTAAATTTTTGTTAATATGGTTTTGGCAATTAAATTAGGACAAATGAAGTAAAAATTTAAGCTCTTGCTTGGTACACCAGTTAACAATTACTCGTATATAAATTTGTTTTTAGATTTTAGATACATTATTGTGAATCCAGCAAATTTGCTTATAGTATGTAATCTAACATATTGTTGTTCGATATATACATGGTAAACTTTACAAATAGCTAAATGAGATAAACAAAAAAGAACAAATAAAGAATTAAAAACGAGTACAATATAAATTCTCCTTTCAATAATGTTCAATCTTCATCCCAATTAGTATTTTGTTCAATGTCATTGTTATGACGACCTTCAACCTTCAAAAATTCACAACATATTTATGTACTCCATTTGAAGCTAACATGTACGAGTACAACTTTCTACGGAGTAAAATATTTCACAACAGTGTCCCTATAATATGATTTTACTTGAATACCCTTTAATTGAACCAAATTTTCAGTCTTTTTATTATGTACCACTTCATCCTATTGATCAATACAGACTTACAGAGTAATCTTTTAACAAATCTGTTACTTTCGCTCTTCCCTTGTCGTTCTTTTCCCCTCCCTCTGCACTAATTCTTTCTCCAAATTCTCTCTTCATTTTTCCAAGTTCAAGTACAACCCTTCTTCTCTTTTCATAAAGGACATCAATCTTTCATTTGGCATAGAAGGATGACAAATGGTACATGTCCTACAAAAACAAAAGTATAATACTCCTAGATATAAATATACGGATTAAATAACTTTCTTTACTTGTATTAGTTATCTGGAGGATGACATATACATAATGAACATTTTCTATATTGCTTTCCTGTCGACGTGGAAATTATACCATAAAGACAAAACATAAAGAAATAAGAATTATAATTCACAATCATATAAGAATGGTGGCAGAATGCAAATAATAACTATAGCTAGTTTTGCTGTTTGTAGAAACCTCATGCAACGAGTTGGTAATAATGTTAATCATGGTTTTTTCACCATACCGGGAGAGAGAGGAGAGGTCCATTCTTGGAAGTCATGAAGGCTTCCTGTAAAATCAGTGAAGAGGCCATCCTTCCCCATCTTGTTTATCCAGAAGTCAAATTCAATATAAGGATCTTGATGAAAGTCGAAATGAATGTATTGGTACTCATTCCGAAAGGTATAAGGATGTACCTGGATGTAACAATGGGAAACAACTTAGAATAAAGTCCTTTGGATAACTCAGTCTAAGTGATTAGTTATAGATGTTCAGGACTAAAAAACGAATAGCTACTTTCAGAAACTAAAATACAAGTACTTTTGTACAGTATAGTTTCAGACAATGTATAATTTGGTTACAGGTTTTAAACTGTATGTTTACAAATCAGTCCAACAAGTCAACAGTCTATATTTACCATAGCTAAAAGGGACTCATGTGTTCATTTATATCAGTCAATTTTGAAAATTCTTTCATCACATTAATAATATGTTAGACAGCATGAAGGTACATGCTCATGCCAAAAGCTACAGGACATGCAAATTTGGATGTGGAGAATCGAAAAAAGGATTACACACCTGAAGATCGTGAGCATGTGCTCTGGCAACCAGATCAGATGGGGGTTGTAGATGATTGTTTACTGCTGGAACCACCGTATCCTTCCCTGGCCCAATACCAACAGCGTACTTTTTGATGTAGTCAAAGTAGGCATCTGAAGTGACTTCCAAGTAAGTCTGCAAATCATCAATTACATTTTGAGTACCAATCAGAAAATGAACATCGTGCATGCAGTGTTTCACAATGCAAGCAGCAGAAAAGCAACACAAACCACTTTCTACTAACTACAGAATTGATGAAAAGGAATTCACAGCAGCAACTAAGTGTCTTGTACAAAGGCCTAGTTCAGTTCACCTTAAAATAATAATATTAAGTAAAAATAAGTTCAGTTCAGTAAAAATAAGTTCAGTTCAGTAAAATTCAGTAACTTTAAAGAAGAAATATAATAGAAAATCAGTAAAAATAATTTCAGTTCAGCAAAAATAATTTCAGTTTAGTAAAATTAATTTAAGTTCAATAAAATTAATTTAAGTTCAGCAAAAATAATTTCAGTTCAGTAAAAATAATTTCAGTTCAGTATAAATAATTTCAATTCAGCAAAAATTAGGTGAAGTGAACGGGACCAAAGTTTGTTGTGTGATTTAACTTGGCAGTTCATTATATTACAAGACCCTATGATCAGGTACCTGTCCTAGGAAGTGCATTTCCAGTCTGTATAATACAATAGGAAATTTTTCATTCTTCAAGATCTACTGACAGGCAATTACCCGACTGATTGGTATCTCCCAAAATAAAGATAGTGAAATTGTAATCCAGGTAATCTAAAATCCTGGCAATATACCTTGTGATTTCTTGAATGACATTTATAATATCATACATCACTTTTCCTGTTCAGCATTTACAGTACAATTCTAATAAGCAGAGCTCTAGAAGGATCTTGACAAATGCTTTATGTCATCTAACAAGCTAGAATATCCTGGTAAACATAAGCAAGTTATCCCCCACCAACAAAAGAGTTAAAAAAATGGAAAGAAGGATTTTTAACCTGGTTAGTATCTTCTGTTCTCCAAGCTGTGTCACCAATCAGAAAGATTTTGGGCAAATCTGTCTTATTTGATAAGCAGACAAGCGATGATGGAGCAAATGATTGAATGAAACAAGGCTGTTTTAGCCAATCTTTCGATAAATATGAACCACTGTAGCCATAGTTCTTCAGAGTGTCCACAAAAACATCCTCAAACTTCTTCCCATTTGGCCATTTCACCTGCAGAAAGCAAATTCATTAGTATAAAATTTTAGGCAAAGGTAAATATTAGTATAATGAATTCAGAGGTTAGAACACGTCAGAATATGTATAAAATTTTGCTCAACGATACCTCAGAAGAAATTTAACATCCATATTAAAATCATTAACCCTTTACTTAATTCAATCAAGAGGCATTGAATATGGTTGGACATCATCCTGATTCCTGGTTGCTAGATATCAACACCACAACATAGCTCAACATTCAATATACAGTCAAATTCAATCTCACCACTTCTAAGCGGCATACTGTACAAAAGGGCTGTAATTGGTTTCCCAAACAAAAGCCTTTTCTATTTCTTTTTTAATGTCGTTTGGAATTCTTTGATCTGAGGCATCTGATAGGTGACAATTTAAAGAAATTCTAGCAGTGTAGTGAGTTCCCTACTTCCCTCAGCTCTCAATCTGATTCCTCATCAAATGGAGATTCAATGAGGCAATAACATAGGCCCAGAGAGACTGTAAAGATGGACAAAGAGGACAACAAAAGGCTATTTCCCTGCCAAGTTGCTTTTCAAAAGGTCAAATTGTTTTCCAAATTACAGCTAACCAAGCTAAAGAAAAGAGAAGCCTGTGAAACGAATTTTAGGGACTAATGTCAAAGCACAAAGCTCCCGAGTCCTGCCGAAGCACACAATCGATTTCTTTGAAGTCCTGAATTACTTTCAATGATTTTTACTGTAGAACAGGGTATCTGACTACAAATAGTAAAAAGCCATTTTCTCCCTAAGAGGATTGTTCAATACACAGACTTGCTTGCATCTTAGATTTACAAAAAGGTCTCAGCTCACTAAATGATCACTTCCCTCTCCGCTACACTAGGTAAATGGAAATATCTTACAACCATTCCAATCTCATCAGTCACACTAATGCATATTTACCAAAGAGAAATAAATAGTACAAAGGGATAATAGGAAGACATGACTAAATGAGCATAATAAGGACCTCTAACAAATAGCTCGTATAATTTATTGTTGAACAATTTTGACTTTTAATAAAGCTATCAAATGCCAGGCCCAAAAGGCACTTCTAGTTTTATCCCTTAAGGAGACCTTCAAATAGTAAGAGCAAAAATCTGAACCTCACAGCCAACCAAATAAGAGAGCCTACTGTAAATATGTGAGTACTTTACATGAGTGTGGTGACACAAATATTGATTTAAATGGAAATATAGGGAAATTATTATTTGGAAGTATCACACTCCTTTAGCCCGGGTAGTTTAAGAGCTCCTTCCTAAGCATTTGGGTAATGTTGTTGTTGTTGTTGTTTATGGCATTATCATTGAGCCCCTTGAATATATGATCAATTTATTAGTTTTTATACCATAGTCCAAATTCCATACACAAACATGAAAGTTTGAAGATTGGAAAACAAACGTCCCTAAACATCTCCAAATCATTGGAAAATAACAAAATCAAATCATACTCATACTGTCATACTGAAAATGATAAACAAAATCTCCTCCTACTCAATCCATCAAGTACAAACATTCTTTTCTCCCTTCAAAATCCCAGAACTCAAAGCATCCACCAAGATATCTTTAAGATTAGCAGGGTTTTTATGCGCATTTACAGATGACCACTATGTATGCAGCACAGCTACACAGGTGTAGCAATTGACAAAGGAAACAAGATTTTCAATTTTCAATTAATTAAATTTTGTACAGGAGAAACTTACATGTTTGTTTATGAATATGGGATCTTTTATCTCTGGATATATACCGACAACTCTGGAAGCGTTGAGAGCAATAGAGATGTACTCTTCAAAAGTAATAATAGGAAACTTTCCTGTATTACATAGAGTCAAAGAATATATGTTATAAATAATATGAAAGAAAGACAGACAGATAATTCAATAAAAAAGCAAAGGCAAATCTCTGGAACACAAATACTTGAAACATCATTAGAGAAACTATAATACCAAACTCACCATTGTATTGTTGGTCCCTGAATGAGAACCTTTGCTTAGCTCTCAAAGTTTGAAGTTCCTTCCACGTAAAATCAACTGCATACAAAAAGATGTCAAGTCAGAAGAACAGTAATTTATGATTCAAGATCATATTATTTCTTAAAATGCAGTGCATGACGTGAACCACGTGAATAAGAAAATCTGAGGGTGGCAGAGTATCACACCAATGAAAAAGCCAGTAACATTACGTCCTTGGACCTCATAGGTCCTTTTGCGGTCTGCAAACTCCTGGTGCTCGACAATATCTGTCGTAGCATCTAAAATTACATCATGGTGACATATAAGTACACCATCTTTGGAAGATAGAATGTCTGTTTCTATGAAGTCTGCACCTTCTTTTATAGACCTCTGCCAAAAATAGACAACTGTTAGCTTCTGCTTTACTCATTGCTATAAACAGTCTAAAGTACAAGGTAGCACAATCTACAAGATGGAAAACATACTGACGTTTGAAGGGTATGAAGATTTCCAAGAATCTGGATGATGTGAGATCTTTGAAATTATCACTTCAATTTCATAATAGTACATCAGAATTCATTGACGAGTAGGTTTATAGAGTATCATAACTTTTTGATGTGAAAATGAGAATTTGAACACACAAGTGAGAATCTAATGTTAAAGAACTCTAATTGCACTAGTTCAAAGACTTTGCAGTGACATTTAGGTTTATACTAAAGGAGTAATAGGTAATTGATTACTACTAAAACAATGCTGCACCTTGCTAAAAGGGAATCACAAATTGTGACAACTAGATAACTGTATGGTTATACAAGCACATCACTTCTTGAAACTATTCTAGCACTTATCCAAGTTTTATAATCAGTTATACAATATGAGAAGACAAATAGATGAGATTTGTTCCCTAGAACCATAAAGGTTGGACACACCAGATATGCAGCTGCAGTTTCCTCGGGGAATTCTCCATTAGAACCTCGATGTGCAAGGTTGTATGGACGTGAAGTCTGCAAAGGCTGCTTTGGAGTCTTATGTTCTATGCTAGGAAACAGATATGTACGTCTAGCACTACAGCAAACAAAGAGTAGCGGAAGAGTAAACAGGATGGTACCTGCCAATTTTGAGACAGGAGTGACTCATAAATTCTATACCCCCTCAGTTTCAAACAAATGTTATTTACCACTATTTAACTACAAACAAAAAAACTTTTGATACAAAAATAGGTAAACCAAAAGCGTATGAAACTAGCCTTTTAGAACGTTGTAAAATGTAGAACTATAAACTTTTGGAGAGGCACAATACTTTTAAAGTTTAGATGTTTAAAGCAAGCTAGTTTGAGTAAGAAAAGTTAGAAGTGAGATTAACAATGACACTGAGCAAGTGTTACCTATTAAAAGAATAACATGTACCATAAATTTGGCCACGAGGCACAGAATCAGAAGGTCTAGGTAGACCTGGAAAGACTGATCTGACTTAAGCTACTCAACATAAAATTGACCAGCCATAACCGAGCTCGAAACGTATCACTCAGTCACTGACCACTCCAATATGACAAACCGAATTGACTTGAACCAAATGACTCATATACCATTTCTAGAACTAAACTATGAAACTTCGGAGTTCACTTCGGACACCTTATCATAGCACTGATATTATGTTGATTATGTCTAGAGACCTATGAGACTCAAATATCGTGGTCCTAATATAAATGCTTAATGCTACATTCTCAATTCTAACCTTAATCAATGAGTCAATTCCATTAAAAAAGCCTTCCAGAAAAATAATTGCATTTTTCCACAAAGAAATTTCAAAATATAATCTAATCTAATAAACCAATTCCCTTTCACTTGTACCGATAATTCCCTGCCACTTTGGTAACCTTTCTGTACATCACTGTTAATTAGAAATGTTCTAATCTTCTTCAATATCATTAATTTATTAAAAACCCTAAAAATTACCTGAAACTAATTGGTTGACATACTTCAATTATCATCAATTCATCACCAATATTTGTATTATCTATTTCGAACATGACAAAATTGTACATTCTTGACATAAAAATCTCCAACACAAATTAATTAGACCAAATATTAATACAAATAACAATCTACCAATTCCATTAACAAACCCCCATTTTCCGAATAGGAGAATTTAACTATTGCTCATCATTCTACGACATTGGCATGTCTGAAAACCCAAATTAAACCAATAAAAATAAAAAAAAAATTAACAAAAAAAAACTACAACTTTCTTTTATAGAATGATCGAAAGTCAAAAGCTAAAGAAATTTTTTTTAAGCAGCTGATTGATAATTGAAAAAAGTCAAAGTTTGTCTTTGTTGTTGGTGTTAGTACTTACATAGCGAAGTCATGGCATTGGCAAACTCTAAACCTCCAAAGGTTGAGCTACGACGCCGGAACTTGATTTGGGGTGTGTGCCAGACTGCCAGCACTCTGAAACTGTGACTAAATCATTCTGGTCGTACTGTAGTTACATCGGTATCTACTTTGGAGTTTGGACCATTTGGTCTGCAGTCTGCACTAGGCCAATTTTGACTTGAGATTGAATTTGGAAGTTGGTGTTGTTTGGTTCTTTACTCCTCTCTGCGTTTCATATTAAATACAACACTTTCTATCTTCGGCCGTTTTATAATAATTACAACACTTCTATTTTTGATAAGGATTTGCCATTATTTTATAATTTCAAGTGGTTAGAGCATCCTTCCCCATTCTAGGAGATTCTAGGATCGATTCTCATCACTCGCCGTTATGGCTCTTTAAACACCAAAAAAAAAACAAAAAAAAAATTATAATAAAATAAAAATCCACTTTCACAAATATTTTATTATTCTCTTTTCTACCAATCCCACTAATACTACTTTTTAATTATTTTTCTCTCATACAAACAATACTTTATATTATAAAAAATCCTCTTTTGAGCCCCACCCTATTAATTTTTTTTTAAACTTTGTGAACACCTTAGTGTTGCATTTAATATGAAACGGATGGAATACTAAGTTAATTTTGACTTGAGATTAAATTTGGAGATTGGTATTGTTTAAATAAACAAGTTAAGATAAGAGGAAGGTTAGTTTATCTATGAACAAATTTTGTTTAACAAAATAACAAATACCAAATCGTAAATAAATCAAAGAATAAGTGATCTTTGTTATGGATCATTTTGTACAATCAAAGTAGCAACCGACTTAAGAATAATTCAACCAAGCACTTTGTTGGTTGGGGTGATTTCAACAATATTCTGAACCTAGAAGACAAGATTGGTTCTCCTTACACCCTTACTGAAGTTGAGCAGTTTCAGACTTGCCTGAGCACCTCTGAGTTGACTGATTTTAAAATGGGGGGGGGGGGTTCTATTCCTGGAATAACAACCAACAGGGAAGTGACAGGGTTTGCTCCAGAATTGACAGGTTATTGGTAACCTTTGCTTGTTTGGATGTTTTTATGAATGCTCAAGCTGTCTTCCTTCCAGAAGGCATTATGGATCATAGTCCATGTTGTGTCAGCTTGATGGAGGATTCTGGTAATGTCAGGAAGCCGTTTAGATTTTTAAATATGTGGGCCAGCGCTGCAGACTTCTTAAACAAAGTTGAAACAGCTTGGAATGTTGATGTCCATGGGTCTGATATGTTCCAATTGGTAAAGAAATTGCAAAGTGTAAAAGGCTCCTTGAAGCAACTTAATACTTCCTGTTTTTCCTCAGTTGAATCTGATGATCTGAGAGCTGCTGCCGAGTTAGAAAAGATCCAAAAACTGCTGCAAAATGATCCTTTAAATGAGGAATTGATTAGCATGGAAAATGTTTGTAGAGATCAGTATGTTAAAGCTCACTCAGTGAAGTTTAATTTTCTTCAGCAAAAGGCCAAGCTCCATTGGTTGAGGGAGGGTGACATGAACTCAAGTTACTTTCATGCTTGTATTAGGAGCAGGAGGTCTCATAGTAGAATTTGTAGTATCCAGGATGGTGCTGGGAACATATTACTGGACCCCTCCTTGATTGCAGACACATTTGTCAAATATTACACAGGGTTACTTGGTACTCATATGGTAGCCAGCAAGAAGATTCATCCTAATGTTATTAGTGAAGGGCCTATTCTTACTGCTGCTCAAGGGACTGGTATCTGCAGACCTATCTCCTTGGAGGATGTGAAAACTGCTCTATGGAGCATTGATGAGGGCAAAGCTCCGGGTCCTGATGGTTTCTCAAGCCTCTTCTTTAAAGCTTCCTGGGATATCATTCAAGCTGATCTATGTAAAGCAGCGTTATCTTTCTTTGAGCAGGGCAAGCTTTTGAAGCAAGTAAGTGCCACTTCTTTGACGTTGATCCCCAAGGTGGAGCATGCTACCTTAGTTACTCAATACAGACCCATCTATAAATCATTTCTAAAATGATTTGCTCAAGATTGAAGGAGGTTTTGCCTAGTCTAATTGATGAGGTCCAGGGCGCTTTTATAGTTGGTAGGTCCATTCTTGATAATATCCTTGTTTGTCAAGACATGTTGAAGGATTATAATAATAAAAGAAGAGCTCCTAGATGCACCATTAAGGTGGACCTTAGGAAGGCGTATGACTCTGTCCATTGGAGTTTTATTGAAGATATGATGTTGGCTCTTGGCTTCCCTGTTCAGTTTGTTGCTTGGGTGATGGAGTGTGTTTCCACTCCGTCTTATTCCATATTCATTAATGGGGGGCTTCATGGTTTTTTTAAGGGCAAAAGAGGGGTCAGACAGGGAGACCCCATGTCTCCCCTCCTGTTTGCTATTGTGATGGAGTATTTGACTAGGCTTTTGAAGAAAGTGAGCAAGCTCCACAGGTTCAAGTTTCATTCTAGATGCAAACAGTTGCACTTAAACCATCTTATATTTGCTGATGACTTAATGCTCTTCTCTTATGGGGATAAGAATTCAGTGAATTATCTCATTCAAGCCCTTAGAAGATTTGAAGCTATTTCTGGTCTTCAAGCCAACACAGATAAAACAACTGTGTATTTTGGGAAGGTTGCTGATCAGGTGAAAGAGGATATTCTTGCTAGTTCTGGGTTTTTTATTGGTTCTACTCCCTTGAAGTATTTAGGGGTGCCTCTAAATGCTACTTGAGAACTTATGATTTTGATTGTTTGGTGGATCAAATGTTGAAAAGAATAACTTGCTGGTCTAGTAGGAACCTGTCCTACTCAGCTAGAATTGTTCTTATCAATTCTGTCCTGATGAGCTTGCATACTTATTGAGCTCAGTGTATTCTTCTCCCGAAAACTGTTATTGATCGTATTAATCAGCTGTGCAGGACCTTTCTTTGAGGATGAAATGCTGTGCTTTCTAGGGCCCCCCCCATCTCTTGGAGTTGGTTCTGTAAACCTAAAAGGTTTGGTGGTCTTAGGGTTAGAGATTGTGCAGCTTGGAATAGGGCGGCCCTTGGTAAGTATGTGTGGAAGGTGGCTGTCAAAGAAGACACCCTGTGGGTTAGATGGGTTCATAGTGTGTATCTCAAAGACCAAGATTGGTGGAGCTACACTCCTAAGAAGGGAGATGGCTGGGCTTGGAAGAAAGTTTATTCTGTTAAGGAAGAGATTAAGCCTGGTTTGAGGCTGGTAAGTGGCAGGAGGCCCCTTAAAATTGCTAATACTTACAAGTGGATGCAGGGTGCTCATCCTAAAGTAAGCTGGGACACGTGGATTTGGAATAAATATAATATTCCAAAACATTCTTTTATTGCTTGGCTGGCTATCATGAATAGACTCAGAACCAGAGATAAAATGAAGCAGTATGAGGTGTGTGATGCGGATACCTGCCTGTTATGTGGTGTAGCTAGTGAAACCCATTCCCATCTGTTTTTTGACTGTCCATATAGCAAAAGATGTCTGTCAGCTGTAAGTGCTTGGATTAAAATCAAGGAAAGACATTTTAATATCACTATAACATGGCAACACTGGAAAAGAAGTATTAAAGATGAGGTGAAACAGAGGATCAGACTGGCGGTTCTAACTACTAGTGTTTATCACATCTAGACGGCCAGGAATAAGGCCAACTGGGATAAGGCTGTAATTCATCCTGTTAGACTCTATCACAGTATTTGCAGGGAAGTAATGGATAGGTGTCATTAACTCATTAATTGTAATAGAGGTGATCTCATTGTAAATGGTTGTTTCAGCTCAAAAGTTGTATTCCTCCATAGTTTTATTTGTTTTGTTGGTTTGGTTAGGTTTGATCCTTGTTGATAGTTGAAAATGTGAAGAGGAGTTTGGTTGCCTATTGGCAGTGTAGTTGTGGTTTGAGGGCTTGCCCTCCTTCTTTGGTAATAAAATCCTTACTTACCAAAAAAAAAAAAAAAAAAAGGTATCACACGGTCAAAATGCTTAGAGAGTACGAAAGAAGACTAAGTTGGTTCCTATAATTAAAGAACCATACTATTGTAATGGTATAGCAAATTGTCATGAAAAATGTCTTCGTCACGACTAGCATTGCGACCGACACTCCTACTAGTGTCACAACCATCATGGAAACAATCGTCGCTGATCCTTGACCACAATCGTGGCTTAATAGGTCCGCGAATGACATTGCAATCAATGTCGTCACTAACACTGACACTGATGATCGACACCCAAACGTTCGACGCCACTAGACTAGCCAAAGAGAGTGGAACAAGTCAAAATTGTTACTAATGCAATCTAAACTCAAGGAGAGAATATCTACTAATAAGAAGTCATATAAATTGTTTGAATATATCTACATCCTAAAACAGTCTAAGACCCTGTTTTTTTGAGCTGCTCTGCGTTGCTGAACCCTGCTCGGCTCTGCTGAGCCCTGCTCTGCTGAGTAAAAATAAGCTGCTCTGCTGACACCTGCTCTGCTCTACTGAAATCTGTGCTGCTCTGCTCTGCTTGTCCAGAAGCTCAAAATAATAGGGCCTTAATTTATTAAAAGGCCAAAGTAAAGAAATTATATACCACCTTCTCTTTTTAATGAAGTCATCCCCATTACTCTCAAAACCACCTACTAGCTATTATTTGAAGCTCTATAAATAGAGAGCAACCTCTTCAAGGGAAATCACTCTAGCACATCTGCAAATAAGCTACATATATTATTCTAGCATTATTCTTTTAGTATTTTTAGAATACATTACCCTTTTCCACATCAAATTCACATTGTACTTGTAGTTGTTTTTATGCGCGAAATATAGTGGATTGGTGGACTCATAGTGACCAGCAATTTTTACCCATCTTCGTTGGGGTTTTCTGTATCACCATATCGTGTTTATTTTCTGTCATTTACTTTCCCTCTTTTATCTTATTCATCCTTATCTAGTCGCATAACAAGTCCCAACCAAGAGTTGCTTCTCTAGGCGCTTTTTGGCATACATAATCTTTCCCTCATCCATTGGTTTTTGGCAAAAACAAATATTCTTATTTCCAAAGTTGAGTTAATTTATTAAGGTCCTGTTCACTCGGCTTATTTTTGTTGAACTGAAATTATTTTTGCTGAATTGAAATTATTTTTACTGATCTAAAATTATTTTTACCGAAGTGAAATTATTTATATTGATTCTCTATATAATATCTTCTTTAAAGTTACTGATTTTTACTGAAGTGAAATTATTTTTACTGAAATGAAATTATTTATACTGATTCTCTATATAATATCTTCTTTAAAGTTACTGATTTTTATTGAACTGAAATTATTTTTACTGAAATGAAATTATTATTATTGAACTTAAATTGTTTTTACTGATCTACAATTATTTTTGCTAAATTGAAACTATTTTTACTAAAATGAAATTATTTTTGTTGATATGAAGTTATTTTTATTGATTTTCCTATAAAATATCTCTTTAAGGTTATTGTTTTTTATTGAACTGATATTATTTTACTAAACTAAAATTATTTTTACTGATCGGAAATTATTTTTACTAATTTAAAATTATTTGTACTTATTCTCTATTAATCCTATTATATATTTCTTTAAAGTTACTGATTTTTCTTGAAATTAAATTATTTTTAGTGAGTATTATTTTCTTAAAATGGAGTGAACTTGGCCTAATACTTGGTAAGTTGATATATGTGATATCTAATTATTGTTTTTAACTGCCTTCTTATTTTTTACTATTTATTTTCCTTAATCACTTAAAATCACCAAATATAACTTTAGATTCGGGAACATAGTGAGTATCGATAACTCCATAAGCAAAGTGATACATTTAGGGGTGTACACAAACTGGCCCAGACCTGAAAACCAACCTGAACCAGACTTGTTTAGACCGGACCGGTGAATTCAGGTCTGGTCCCAGTCCTTAAAAGTCCATGATTCCGGATTTCCGGTCCGTTCAAGGTAAAAACCGAAATTTTCAGGTCCGGACCTGAAGCTGGTAAAGCTGCTTTTTTTTATTATTTATTATTTAACAGGTCTAAACAGGTCCAAACAAGTCATATCAGATCTAAACAGGTCCATATCAGGTCTAAAAAGGTCCATATCAGGTCTAAACAGGTCCAAACATGTTCATATCAAATCTTAACAAGTCCATAAACAGGTCTAAACAAGTCCATAAATAGGTCCAACAGGTTTTTTTTATTTAAAACAATAAAAAAAAAGATGAAACAAATTAATAATAAGGTCTATTCAGGTCCAAAACCAGACTAGACCTTATTTTTCAGGTCTGGACCGGAACTGGACCTGTTGATTTAGGTCCGGTCTCCGGTCCTTAAAAATCAATAATTCAGGTCCCGGTTCATTCAGGTCCGGGTCAGGTCCGGTCCGATTTTGGACCGGTGTACAACCTTAGGTACGTTGACAAATGTAAAATGTTACTCGATAGTCAACACTCCGTAATTTGCGAGGAATTCCAAGTTAATCTCTGAAATTAACATTCTAGTTTATCTCCTCTCATAATTTAATGCATTTATTTTTATGCCACTTTACTATTTTCTTTTATCATTGAAAAAATTAAAGAAAAAGATTATATTGTGCGAGGAGAAATATTTTTGGATTTTTCCCGAGCTTTCAGGCGAGACATATCTATCGGGAAGGAAACTATGTTTTCTCTCTCGGCTACGCTACTTCGACTCATCAAAATGTAAATCTGTTTTTTAGATTATAAATTTGCTTAAACGTATCTAAACTCCTCCATGTATCTTACTTATTTTTAAAAAAAAATACATATTTACAAATTTATCTCAAAATGAACTTGGATAACTTTCATATGTGATTGTTCATACCGAAATTTATCTTAAAATGAAACTTGGATAACTTTCATATGTGATTGTCCACACCGTGTGGCCAATCATCATAGGGGTTACTCAATTAGTGTTATAGGGGTTATCCGGTTAGTGTTACAAGAGTTACTTTGTTGGTGTTATAGGAGTTACTTAAGGGGTTGTTTGGTTGGATTATTTAGAATGGGTTGGAATGGAGTTAAAAACCATTCCATCTATTTTTGTGTTTGGTTGAGCTTTTTAGTAATGGAATCTCATACCCAAGGTATCTAACTCCACCCCATACCTATGGAATTTCATACCCACCTCTCCCCCTAAGATTCACATTCCATTCTATCAATGAAGTAAATAATCCATTCCAACATTAAAATCAAACAATTTTAGACTAGTATGGGTTTTAGAATCCATACCTCTTTAGTATAGATTCCATATCAATCCATTCTAATATAATGAACCAAACACCCCTTTAGTCAATGTTATAGGGATTACTTTGTCGAGCCGCACACAATTTCTTTTAAATAATTTGCTACCTATTTTCCTTACCTACAGTCCAGTGTCCATTTGTGTTTCCTACCTTCCCTTGTTCAAAGAAGAGAATACTGCAATGAGTACAAGTGAATCACCGGCGCCATCATCATCACCGTCGCCGGTGCGGCGGCGGGAGAGTCCATGGGGCGTTTCAGAGGGCGATCACCGCCAACCCAAGCCCCACCGTTGCAACGACCGAGCTGAAGATGTAATCCAGGTCTTTCTCTTTCTCTCTCTCTCTTACATTCTTGCCTTCTCTTCCCCCTTTTCCTAAAATCCTAATTCTTTCTTTCTTTATTGCAAATTACCTCTTTTTCATCATGGAATCAATACTGCTCTGCAACTTAATAATTTAGCTAGCTATTCAAGCTTCTCATTATGCTAGATTCTTGGGAATCCAAGTAAAATTGCAGGTGAAATCACAAATTAGGGTTCTGTTTGTATAAGATTTATTTGATTTACTCAATTTGGAGTAAATTTCAGAATGATTCTGGGTTTATTGTGCTAGTGTTAGTAAAATAATATACAAGTAGTTAATTTGACTATTGTCTGATTTCCTGATCAAATGCAGAAGAAATTTTGATTTTGAGGTGAACCATAGTTACTAATTATATGGGCATAGTTCTATATACCTCTTCACATATGTTTTTTGTCTAAGTCTCTAGGGTATGTTGCTAGGAAGTGCTTAGCCCCTCGAAAACTGATGTGCCGATTTCTTAGTTTGTGGGAAGTGAAACTTCCTTATGCTTGAACGCCTTAATCTCATAAGTGGAGTTGGCTACATGAACCAACATGAGGACATCCCAGGAGGTCACCCATCCTAGTACTACTCTCATTCATAGTGGCTCATGTCAAGTGATGTGACAAAGTTTTACATTGGCTGTCATTGGCCTACCGTAACCCTCCTCCTTTATTTAGGCTTGGGATTGGCAGCGGGAAACCAACTGGCGGAGTTGTGGGAAGTGAACTGATGAATGATAAATGGGATGGCATATTTGGGCATGTTGTTAGTTATGGGTGTTGCTGTGGTTATATGGGGAGGTTTAATGAGTGGAAGGAAATGGAAATCGGTATATATTCGAAGGTGTGATCATGGAAATATAAGGTACTGAGTAGCAATGTGAATGTGCTTTCTTTTGGATTTTAATAGAAAGCTCATCTGGATATAGCTGGCAACGTTAAAAATGTGATCCCAATATTTTTTCCAGATTACACAAGGATAGATTTTTTTGCTTCAGATTTAGGAGTTGAGCTCCTTAGTGTCTTTTCAGCTAGCTGCATCCATGGTAGATAGCTCCTTAAGGTTTAAAAACATTTGCTGATCCAAAGACTAAAAATTGATGGGGGTTTGAACTCGTTATGCTTGAAAACTAATTCCAGGAGAGCTGAAATAACTGAAGTATACATTGGTTTTATATTGGGTGCACACTGCACAGGTTAAACCTTTTTTTTTTCTTTTTTTGTGAATGATAGGAGCTTTTTCTTACAGTGCAAATGTCACTGTAAGCCTAATTTGGTTTGGTGAGCCTAATTAGCAAAGCTGTAATTTAAGTTAAACCTGGTTGCATGCATTGCTTTGTAAGTCCCATAAGTGGAGCCGCCATTATTTTCAATTCATCTGTCATAACTGTGCTGTCTTGAGTTATATTCAATTTCTCATGCTTCTAACTTAAGTTACCTAAATTACTTTTGGTAGCACTTGCCTGGTTTCTTAAATTTTAAACTCATATGAGTGAACAACTGAACATACAGAGTATATTTGTTTAGGAGCTCCATTTTAAATACCAAGTCTTTGCTAAATCATACAAAGTAATTTTGAAGCATTTACTAGTTTAGTGCATATGGAAATGAATTCAATAGCAGTGTCTCAAAGATATTTTAACTGATAAAATGGTGATTTGGTAGATTGTTGAGGTTGTGGGTGTCTGCTTACTCTCCCATGATAGAACTACCTCCCTTGGCTATATATAACCCTTGACTGCTCAAGTGATAACTTCCATCTATTCCTTGGTAGATTTAAGTGGAGGGAAATAGTTAGAATGACAGACTCTGACAGTTTTTCAGTGGATTTCGAGAAGCTCTGGATACTGGAGATCTTCTGATCCTCATGATGCCTAAAGTGATTATGTTTCATGTTGGGAAGCTCAATTTGAGCAAAACGAAGTACGAATTTTTGCCCTGGCACTGTTTAACAAACCATTCTTTGATTGCTGTAGGCTTGTTTTGAAGGAAACCCATTCAAGACTGTTCCAGGCCCTTTCAAGCTTTTCTATCGATGCATGCGGTCAAAACCTGGGTAAGTTTTCTCTTATTTACTTCCATTATTAGATAGTTCTATCACGTTCTTCAAGAGATTACCGTGTTTCTATCACAAAGACTTCAAGTAAATTGAGCTGTTCTCATGACACTTAATTTTAATGCAGGGAGGAGCCAACAGAGCCTTTCTACTACTTGGAGCTAGAACCACCAAGGAGAGAAGTACAACTTGAGTGAAATTTCAGTAAATTTCTCAAAAAGGGGCATTATTTTGGGTTTTCCCTGATATCTGAACTCGGAGTGTTATGAATGGTGACCATATATGCATCATACACTAGGATTGCTCTCCTTGTTATAAATGAAGAAATACCACTTCATATCATTTCCTTTTTGTTTGTTCTTTGAAATTTTGTTTTGGGTTACCTTGTTAATCTACACAACTTGCCTTGTGATCACTCGTTAATAATATCATGTACATAGATTCATTCTGTTGCTAGCACAATTTGTGCAGGGTCTTTGTTGTATATACTCCTCTGTGCGTGTGTGTTTGTGTGTCAACATATATAGAATGGTACACAACCGACTGTTGCGAATACGTTACCTACTTACCTTAATAGGGTACCCTTTGAAGATAGAAGGAAATTTGACTATTTGAGCAAATGTATCAAAACCCCACGATAGAACAGAAATCATATACGAAGTATGAAGTACTAAATATTTATTACCTATTTTTATTATTAATTTTTTTTTTCATAAATCATATACGGATTACTAAATTTTTGCAAACACAACACAAATTTTCGATGAAAACTCAATAGTGGAAGAATTTAACATTATGAAACTATTACAACTATCTTTTTAATTGTATACTGGTGGACATCAAAAGAATGGATGGTTAATAAAATCATGTATACTTCTGCAACATATTGGCAATCTTATGCAACAAGTATGCTGAGTAGCCATCAATATTATCACTAATGGAGAGAGGAGAGGTCCATTCCTGGAAGTTGTGAAGGCTGCCAGTGAAGTCGGTGAATAAGCCATCTACTCCTATCTTGTTTATCCAGAAATCATATTCGATGTATGGATCTTGATGGAAGTCGAAGTGCAGAAATTGGTTCTCGTTCCTGTAGGTATAAGGATGTACCTGTATTCATGTGAACAACTCATTAATAATATTCCTTCAAATAAAACAAAATGTGTATTAGTCTTCCAAAGAACAAAAACTCACTATTTCACAAAGGAGAATACTTATGGGAATTCTCAGCGCTACAATTAGATTTGATAACACCAAATGACTGACTTGTGTAAATTACTGTGTACTATCGCTAGTAGTAAATTTAATACTTATACTCTGTACTTATCCATCTGTAGTGAAGCATTTTAAGGTTCTTTAAAGTTTCGTTTTGAGGGGAAATAGATTATACAGTTTCATTGTGAGGCTAATGTTTCCAACAATTCAACTCAACTTAAAATTAGTTCCGGTTAGTTTACAGTCTAATCTAAAAGACTAATTGATCTATAATCAAACAATAACTGATTCAACATATCGTTGGTATAGATACCTGCAAGTCACGAGCGTGTGCTCTGGCAACTAGATCCGAAGGTGCTTGGATATAATTATTTACCACCGGAACCAATGTATCTTTCCAAGGTCCAATACCAACAACATATGATTTGATGTAGTCTAAATAAGCATCTGAAGTGATTTCCGAGTAAGTCTGCACAAATTCTCCATATTTAGAACCAATACAAGAAATGGTAAATGATGGAAAATTACTAATGGAATAAGACAGTAGCAGATGACCTGGTTGGTATCTTGAGTTAACACAGTTACATCATCAATCAAGAAGATTTTGGGCAGATCTGTTTGATTTGATACATGCACAATCGAACTTGGAGCAAATGATTGGATAAAACAAGGCTGTTTTAGCCAATCTTTTGACAAATATGAACCTTTGTAACCATACTTCTTCAGGGTCTCCACAAAGACATCCTCAAAAATCTTGCCATTAGGCCACTTCACCTGCGGAACAAAAATACACAAGAAGACGTTACTCTTTATTGTATGAACAAAAACATAACAAGCAATCCAAACGATCATTTTTTCTTAGTGCATGCCAAAGACCAATTAGGAGTATAGGATACTCATGCAACATATGTTTGGTTAACTGGATATTGTCATATGTAATATATTATGAAAGCAGAGAGATAGCAAAACAGAACTATGTACTTCTGTCAGGCTCGGCTAACTTATATGATATGAGTACTTGAGGCGAAATGAAGAATCCGAGCAACACATGAACAAAGTGAAAAAAGAAAGAAGATAAAAAACCTTTTCTACATGAACACAATAAACAGCATCCTAGCACTAAGTTGAAGTGTACTTAGAAGCTGTACATGAATATAGATATACAACTAAAAGTCTTTCCAGTCAGAAATATAACTGTTGGTTTCATAACTACATATACCACCGTGTGAACCACTTCAAAGATGGGTCTGAAATAAGAAGAAACCTCCACAGATATTGTGGACCTATTTTGACCATAACTGCTTGGCTGATTCATTTTAAATTAGCTATTTTAGCTTGGCCAGTTGACACACAGAAAGGTGCCTGACTTGGGTGGTAAGTTTTTCCAGTTCATACATTATACGTATGTAAAGTTCTAGTATTCGTGACTGCTAGGCGTGTCAACATATTGGAAACACATTTGTGGCAGTAGAAAATGCAGAGTCCATACAAGTAAATTTACTTACATGCTCATTGATAAACACGGGGCTTTTCATCTCTGGATATATCCCAACAATTCTAGGAGCATCAAGAGCAACAGATATGTACTCTTCAAAAGTAATGATAGGGAATTTTCCTGTAATGCAAAGGCATACAATGACAAAACTTCTAAATTTACAAACCATTTGCTTTCATTACAGCTCTACTTCAGGAATCGTACTTACCATTGTATTGCTGATCCCTGAACGGATATCTTTGCTTTGTTCTCAAAGTTTGTAGTTCTTTCCAAGTGAAATCAACTAAACATGGAAAAATATTCTTTTAGAAAGACAATTAATCACAAGCAAGATGACATCAATTTTCGGCAAATTAAAAAGAAGAAATTTAAGATGGGTAGAAGACTCCAATCTGTAGAGACATCATACCAGTGAAGAATCCAGTGATGTTGCCTCCTTCAACCTCATATGTTCTTTTGCGATCAGCAAACTCCTTGTGGTCAGCAATATTAGTGGTGACATCAAGATTAACATCATGATGACATATAAGCACACCATCCTTTGTGGCTATGATGTCTGTTTCGATGAAATCTGCACCTTCTTCTATAGCTCTCTGCCAAGGACAATAGCCTTTAATCCCCACTTTTTTCTTGTTATATGGTAAACTAAACATTCACACACCGTAATCTATGACATGAGAACTTAAACCAAATAACTCTTCGAATTCATACAAGATTACCTTGGATCGGAATAAAATGAAATAAAAAAAGGTATTATCATATCACAGCAAACAAATTTCACCACAATTCTGGTTCGCAATAACAGCACTTAACAAGGTATGAACTCAGAATACACACAAACAGATGTATTTCCTATACAACAGTTGTTTCATTGACTTGCTGTTGTAATCTTCTCTGACAAGAGAACAAATCGATTAAGATACTAGATGCAAGATTCATGGACAAAAGATACAATAGTTAACAAAGTAATTCAACAAAATAATCAACAGCATGGCTTGAAACAGAAAGAACACTAGAGGCTAAGCTAATCATCATCAGCATATAGCACATGAACGAGCACCATATCATTAGACTAGAAACTAAATATATCAACAAAAAAGCACAGGAAATTCTCCTTGAAACAGAAAATCGAAACACACTAGATATGCAGCAGAAGTTTCTTCAGGAAACTCTCCATTAGAACCTCGATGTGCAACGTTATACGGACGTGAAGTTTGCAAGGGCTGCTTGGTACCTTTTTGTTCTTTGCTTGGAAGCTGATATAAAGGCCGAGCACTACAGCTTACAAAGAGTAGCAAAAGAGTAAAAGGGACAAAACCTGCATATTATAAATATATGCATTAAGTGTCTTGGATCAGCAACAATAACATGAATTTATTAGCCAACTCACAAAATTCATAAACATCACATCTTTTGTAAGAAAACAGAAAATTTCAGGAAAATCAAACAACTTTTGTTTTTGATGCTTTCATTGAACTTGTTGGTATATTTTTAGTATAAGAACATGAATGATTTCAGTTTTCGACATTCAACAAGTCACTGGTTAGATAACAAACTGATCATAATCAAAACCATTATACAAAGTTCGGAAAAAACTTTCTGCAAATATTACAATTTAATTTATGTTAATTTCACACAATTGACATGTATCATAGAAAAAATTAAATTGTTGCCAAAATTATTACTTGCTCCGTCTGAACTGTAATTGTATCACGAAAAAAATAAAAACATAAATTATAACAAATGAAATTCATACCCAACATACTTATCTATTCAAATTAAAATCCAAAAACTCCGGAAACGAGATGATAAATTACATTCAATAATTAACTAAAACCCACCAAATATAATAAAAGATTGATGCGTATAACTCATGAAATCAACAAAATAAAATCAATTAAAAGATTTGGGTTAAAATTTTACTTACAGAGCGAAGTCATGATATGATTGCCCCCTTATCTCTCTTTTTTTTTCTTTTCCTCTCTCTTTTTCAAGTTGGTATAATGGTATGGCATTTATAGAGAAACTTTTTGAGAAATTCAAGTCAAAATATAAGACGATCACTATCTATAGATAATTTTTTTTTTTACAGAATCTATAAATACATTCAAAGTACTACGTATACAAATTTTATTTTGTGGGGAATAATATAATAAGCTTAATAATGTGATAATAATTATGGACTATTTTTTTAATTATTTTTTTAGATAATATAATATGGGGTAGTTTGGTTCGCACGGGGTAAACGGAATGGAATGAACAAAGGGAATGAAAAAGAATGGAATGAAAATACCTTATATTCTTTATGTTGTTCGTTTTAAAAATAAAGGGAAACAATCCCACCACCACACAACCACCAATTAATTCACTTTCCACCTTTTCCAGCCACTATCCATCCAACAAACCACTTGCCAGAAGATCCCATTTTCAGATTAACCATTGAAATATTGTGAAAGATCAGTGAACGCAAAGAAAAATTGGATAAAATTGACCAAGTTGACTATCAACATGAAACCCTAGAAAATGGAAGAGAGAAATTAGAGACCGTCCGTTGCGAGACAAATACGACATTGAATTTGTTCAGAAGGACCAGCTTCAATGTCGACCACGGCCGTAGGAAGAATGGGAGATGGCGGCGACATTTTGAGAGGAGTTGCATCGTCATCATCTGCATTGCCCGCCATTGACGAGCTTCTTGAAGGTCGAAGCTTCTCTCTCTTTCTCTCTCCTCTGAAACTGTGATTGCGTTCGT